AAGCCGGATAAACAAAAACAACATTTCCACGTATTACTACATGTCATCAGAAGTTGGAACAGAGGATTTTCCATTTGAGAGAGGAACTCGGCCTAAATATGCAGGGTTTGTGTGTATCCAGGTATGTTTTTGATGAGGAAACAACATTATAACATAGATCTGAAAATAGTGGCATCAAAGACAGTCTAAGGCAGTCTGTCACTTATTGCTCGCTTGTTCCACAGTATTGCATTAATGTGTTTTATTGCTCAAATATTCCTTGAAAAACATTTATTACTGTGAGTGTACACGCCTTTCCACAGATATGAGCTGTAATTTGGCCTGTTGGCATCATCAGATTCTCAGATGGTTCAACTTTTGTAAACCATTTTACAATTTCCATGCATGTTGTCCTTTTAAAAAATTTAAAAGGCTCATTAAATGAACAGCAAGACAATATAGTTTTAGTAATAAACTTGGCTGTGTATTTTTATATAACGTGCACTAAATATGTAATTACCAACGAAGTACTTTTTGTGTGTTTTCCAAGTACACGAGCAGGCTGCAGTCAAGAAGGGGTTAAAAGCAGAGTGTCAGTTTGCTCCTCTTGTGGAAACCTGAGGATTATTGGTGCACTTATCAAAGAAAGCAGCAAATCCACACAGATCCCCCTCTCCTCTCCTCTCCACCACAGCCCCGGGAGACAGAGAGGACAACAGTCACTGTCATAGACTGAGGTGAAGGACACGAGCTCAAGACTCAAGCATGAAGTCATCAGTTTTCCTCCCACTCAACAAGAAGTGCCAAGATAAACACCTAAAATCCATACTATTTGGATTTAATTCACAAAAATCCACAAAGCCCATAGTTTAAACAAAGGTAGGAACTGAGAGAATCAGCTATTTAGAGATTGAAAGAGCTGATATTTTGCACATATGTAGGGTTAATGCTTTCTCCATAGGGTCTATTATCATATTATAACCATCACAGGGACTTACAAAGGTCCTGTATATTAAAATTTATTTTCGGGGTGTTTGAAGCTTTTGTCGTCTTCCTCTATGTCTGTGAGGAAATCCAGCCTTGCAATATGTCGGACAGTGCAAAGGTGAGGCGTCCAAACCAACCAGAACAAAGACAGCGATGTCAATACGGACTATTTTGTTTGTGAAAAACTTGTGGAAGGTGAGTGCTTTGTGCGTTTGTGGACAGGGATGATGTCTTTGCTTTTCTATCAACCAGTTTTAACCAAGTCGACATGATGTTCTGTGTTTTCTGAATTCAGCGAGAGCCTCAACTCAAGAGTGCCACACATATCACTCCAGGTTTATTGGCGGACACGATCCAAAGAGTTCTCGAAACCCTGGCTTTCTTTTTTCTAATATTTGGCAACAATATATATTTTTATGTGATTATGCTGCATTATTTCGATATAAAAAGAACAAGTTGAGTATATTTTAATCTGTAAAAAGAAAAAAAAAACTTTATTCAATCAAAATATTGTCTCACTTATACATTTAGACACCCTCCTCCTCTCAAACTGAAATTCAGACAGTACCAGATTCTATAAAGTCTACCCAAAGTATAAATGTTTGACAATATGATGGGCAGATTTGCGAGTTGTTTTCGTATGAGTCACTGACACCACAAATACTGAGATGTCAAATCAAGTGCAGTGGAGATCGCCATCTAAAATGATCTGGTTCAGAACTAATGGAGCAGTGTAGGAAAATCTATACACCACTATTCATTTGAAAACCAGACCCTGACATGTAATTGGTAGCTTTGAGATATAATTACAATCATGTGATCTCTTTTTAGGATGTGCATAAGCTCACGAACCACATGCATCGAAAATTAAATGCAGTAGAACTCGTATGGACTGAGCTATGCTGCTAGGATTTCACGTATGCTATGTTAATATAGATTAAAGATCCTACATTACACAAAACTGACTCTTGTGAGCTTTATGTCATGTTAAAATGTCGTTACCTCATCAAAAACAGACCTGGAGTTGTGTTTTGTTTCATTCACACGTGTTTGAGAAATCCTTCATTATTTGTCTGTCTAAATCTTCAAAGCTCAAAATGTTCCATGTAGTTGTAGTTTTCAAGTTAATGGCTACTTTTTACATTTTTCAGTAGAGTTTGGCTATTTCAGAGTTGCAATCATCCAAATGAGTTCAGTGAAGGTGTATGGAGTTTGAAAACACTGTGGAACACTTCCTGTATTACCACATGACATCAAAAGGTGAAGTGTTTTTTGTTTGAGAGTTGAAAATTGATGAAAAAATGAATGAAACAAAATGAAACAGGAAACAGGTATGTTTTTGAAAAGGAAAGAGTTTAACATAGATCAGAAAACAGAGTAATATAGGACCCATAAAGAGAATAACTGAACAGCAATTGTAATGTGTGATCTGTGTTAAAAGCAAACAAATAAGAAAGAATTAAACAAACGTACTTTGCTAAAAACTAACTAAAATATTATCAACAATCATGTAGCTTCTATCAAAACAAAAAAGGAGGCATGCAAGTATGTAGAGTTTCTGTCAGTTCTGTGATGAAACAATGAAATATTTGACAATATTTAGTAGCAATTCTGTACTAAGGGCCTACTCACTGAAGAACAACCATGTTTTTTTTTAGTTATAACACAAGATTTTTCCCGCCAGTCTCTCACTGTTGTCCCCTCATCATAACAAACATACCTGGAGTTGTTATTTTGCTTCATTAATCCATTAATCCAAAGTCATCTTCTCTGAGCAAAGGAAAATTCTCTGTTTGCATTCACCCCAAATTGTTGCATCATAGTTAAAAGTCCAGACTTCTCCTGCGTAGTTTTTAAAGCAGATCTAAGTCAAATCTTTACCATAACCAGACTCATTCTGCAATCAAACTGTATTCACAATTAACTTTTTCATATTTTACTTTCTAAACCAGGGGTGGGCAAACTACGGCCCGGAGGCCGTATGCGGCCCTTTAAACCTTTTAATCTGGCCCGCCGAACTGGAATAAATTACAATAATAAACCTTGTTGATGTTTTATTTGTCATGCATTTCCAGCGTTTTCCAGTAGATGGCGCACTATATATACATTGAGTTGCGGCGTATTATGTTGGCCGCAATGCTTTATGGGAAAGTGTTCTTACAGGAGTTATTCGGACCATGAGTGAAGTAGTTGGTGCTTATGATATAAGACTGCACTGCTTCCATTTTGAGTTGGTCAAAATCAATCAAGGAAACTTATGGTCTCTGAGATGTAATTATTAATGTATACAACATTTTGGAGTCAGGTTTTATCACACTCACAGGTGAATATCTGTGGTTGTTTGGCGTGAATTCTGTTTTTGCGCTGTTACCGGTTATATTCGAAAACGGTGAACTGACGATATACATTCACTTGTGGTGTGCAGTGGAACAGGTCAATAGTTTTATGTGTTCTGAATCTTTCACAGCAGTGATGAAACGTGTAGCCCGCGTCTGAAGTCCTAGATAAATGTGAATAAGAATGTAATGAATCTGAGCTCTTTACACGTCATGTCTTGTCTTCTGTCTGGCCCTTCAGTCAAACTTTAGGACCCTATGTGGCCCGCGAGCCAGAAAGTTTGCCCACCCCTGTTCTAAACCATTGCTGACAGCAGAGGGAGCTCTAACGCTAAACTAAATTACTAATTGGAAGGTGTAGTTTAACTGTTTTCTCCAAATTGTAGATATAATTTTAAGAAATGTTAGAAAATGTTAAACACTCTTTCCAAGGTGACAACATCACACAATGCTTTAAGTTCAGGCTAAAAACAATAGATGTCGGCCAACCAAAAACTTGCCCAGAGACACATAGTGCTGTCTAATCTTCATTGGTGAGTAACAGGGGGGAAGTTTATGCTTGTCCATTATTAAAAGTGTAGAACTTTAGCAATTGTTCTTTCTTCAACTTCAGTGCAGTAGTTTGGCAAAAACTGAGGCAACTTTTATAAACAACAAAACCTGTGTACGGCAAAGGGCCAAATGACAGAGAAAGAGCGTCTCAGGCCGAGCCAAACCAATCACCTTGTGCCCTCTGAAGGATTAACGGTGTCATGACTCAGAAGACAGCTCCCGTAACCAGGCAACCAACTCACATTTTGTTATGCCTTTTGCATTTTATATATGTGGAAATGCAGTCACAGTGACTTCTTGTACTTCACTAAAACATTAGTCCAACTGTAGAATCACAAATAATCCTTTTTAACTTTACATTACCTAACAGTGACATTTAAACTCACACTCGCCCTGTGGCAGGTCTGAGCACCGTGCAGTTCAAATTTGTCATCAGAACAAAGTGCCTTCCGTGTGTGTGGATTATTAGAGCGTGCTGACACCACATTATCAGCTCAGCGCAGCCCGTCTCCAAACCCCAAACCTGCACAACAGGTTTTACCGTCCCTTCTCCGGCGCACAGCCAAACATCATGTAACTATGCATTTCTCTACAATTACACGTCTGACCCGAAGGCCTGTCACCATCATTTCTATACCGACTTAAAGTTCAATATAGATTGGGGGTCAATATCTATCATGGGTACTTTTTTTTTGCAATCCTGGGGAAATTATGGTTATTTTTTGAGTATATGATAAGATTTAAGCCATAAAAAGTGGAAAAACATCTATGACTTATCACAGATGCAAACTAAGTACACCACCATTTTATTGTGATGTTTATTAATTGCAGCTCGTGATTTTTAAAAGGTGTACCTCTCCACAGATCTGACCTGTAACTGTCTGGTTTAGTCTCCATGAAAATAGAAAGGTTTAATACCATCTTGTGAAACGTTCCAGACAAAGCAATAACATTTCCATGGAGAAAAGCATTTCAAATTTAGAATAGCTTCTGCAGTGTAAATCTGCTCTTTTGTTATTGAGTCAGATGGAATATTTTCATTTATCATCAACATTTACTTCCGCAATATATAGACTGTGACAGGCCTAATCATCCAGTAACAAAACTCGGCACAGTTCATTTTTGAGCTATGAGGACGCGTCTTACCTGAGTTGAACTGTTTTTGGTCCATGGTAAAAGGCATTCGGAGACGATGGGGGAGAGGTTGGAGTGAAGGAGCTCCGGAAAAGGGTTAGGGGTGACGGAGAAGGAGTCCTCTTCCTCTTCATTGCTTCTACAAGTGAAAGAGAACAGGGGGTTAGGATATAATGTACTTTGCAAGGTTGTAACGTCATGATCAGATATTGTTAGAGATGCACAGTTATGGAAAAAATTTGGTTTATCTGGTATCAGTTTCATGATTGGTTAAGGTGGTGTCCTGGTCAGGCCTTTAAATAGATGTAACTAGACTATTTAAAAGGCTGATATTGGCCAAGACATTTCATAATGTTTGTGCTTTTATTCATATGACGGGGTTCAGTCGTGATGTGAAGCATAAATAACAGTTGCATAACACTATTGGATCTCTTGTGTAATAAGTTAACTGTGTTTAGGGAAATGGTACCATTTTCTGTCCCTAAACTGGTATCAGTGAATAGCAGATATTGACATATTCTAAAAGTCATAGCAACGATATCGGTATTGGAACTGAAAAAGTTGGATCGATGCATCCCTAGGTATTGTATTGTTGTTTGCAATGCGATTGCCATCTTGCCTGTTATAATTTAAAGGTCATGTTGGTGCATCACTCGTGGTCATACTTGGTCTCATATTTATTCTGTTCTATGGTGTTTGTTAATGTGGTGCTTGTGTTGTGTTGTCCTGTTTTTTGATAAAGCATGTTACCCCCTGTCCCAAGACAAATTTCTCCCATGGGAGACAATAAAGGATTGTTTTATGTTATCAAATTTGTGATTTGTTTTAATAGATAATAAGTCTGTTCAAAGTTGACTTTTTCACATATCTAGGAATATTTATGTTTGATAATATCCTGAAATATGAACTGCTACAATAGAAGAATCCCATGCATGTTTATAGGGGTCCAACTCTGCAGAGTTAGCAGGTTTTCTACAAAATAGGACAGGATATTTTGTTATTTGCAGAGGATTAAGGGTGTAACAGTACATGTATTCATGCCGAACCGTTTCAGTACAGGACGTTCGGTTCAGCGCAGGACAGTGCACAAGTGAATTGCACATGTGCATCTGCACGTAAAGCTCGGCTCTTTAATATTCATGAGGTAACTTGCCCCCCGCCTTGACTACATCCCTTCGAACCAGGTGAATCCTCACAAAACTACAGTTGAACCGAACCGTGACCTCAAAACCGAAGTACGTACCGAGCCGTGTGTTTTACACCCCTAGAAATTATACATAAAGAGGTGCATTTGCCACCGTGTGTTGTCTGCATCCAAATATAATGTGTTTTATCCTCCAAGAATCAGGAAGTGCACCATTAGCATGACAATTGTTAGCAATATTGTAATGGAAAAGTGCTTATAAACTCATCATGGTGAATAATAAGAATGCTCGGAACGCATCAGTGAGGAATGAATCTATGCACACAGTTTGAAATAAACTAGTTCTGTTTTTTACATTTTAAAAACTGTAAAAATCAGGTACAGCACTTTTAAGTAATAACAGTCTGAGCAATTAGCAGATTTCATTCATTAATTTCATTGTGATAAATCTCACAATTTCAGTACTATCACAGTTTAAAATTATATCTGTTGCTCTAACTTTCTAATGCATACAAAACAATCCAGATAAAAATATTTAAACTTGAACTATTTTATTTATTTATTTATTTTATTTTATACCAGATTCCCTTTCAATGCCGACCAACTACATCTACATCATGATAAACGTTGAAAGCAGTACAGATAAAGAATCTTGTTTAATGACACAACGGGAACAATCGTACATGAGCATCAAACCGAGAACCCGTCCTCTTTGTGTTCCCTGCTTTACCCACTGCACCACTCTCGAGTTATCAACGGTTACATCTAAAGCCTGATAACATCTGTGTGTGATGTTACTTCACACTTGTACGCACACAGACAAAGGCTCCCCTGTCTTGTCAAACAGCAGTAAAACCTGTAACAATTTTATGAGCTATAATTAGTTGTTCTTATGTGCAGGAATGACCAGTAAAATATATGAAGAGGGTGATAAAGACGGAACATGGAGCCCTCCTGCTTCAGAGCTCCAGACGGCACGCCCCATTCTGATAGATAAGACTTTAACTGCTACACAAGCACGGGAATATACTAGCTTTAGAAAGTTTATGTTTACCCCCTTAAAAACCTTTAATTTTACTGTAGTGCAGCTGGATAATAAAGGGGATCAAGTTCAGATTTAGACAGAATTTTTCAGCACTTTTTACAGTACATAAAAAAAAAAAAAAGAGCAGAAATTTTGATAGTTTTGCAAAAATATAAAATTTTTAAAAAGGGCTGCACAATATACTGCAACTGACTCAAAATCGCAGAGAACTTCTTATATACATATCCGGTTGTATCTGTAGTTTTGACCTCTACAAAAATGTTCTGAAATAAATGGGATTCTTGCATTGTCTCAGTTCATATTTCAGTCTTTTTTCAAATGCTATTGTTCTTGAAGTTGCTTACAATATGCACTTTTGAACAGAATTCTGCTTTTTATTGCAAATTTTATTGAAATATTTGCAGCCCTATTGTAAACAGTCTACTTCCCATTGTAAAACTTTAAGACACTGCATGCAACTCAGAACATTTAGTTTGAATTTTTAGATTTTAGAGTAATTATTGCAGAATTTTAGGAATAGAAATAGATATTCTTCCCACACCATAACAAAACTGAATAATTTTAAAAGGAGGTCAGGCAAGCAGTTTAGATTACATCTTTACAAATATGTTCTGAAATGCATGGGATTCTTGTTTTGTCTCAGTTCATATTTCAGTCTTTTTTTCAAATGTTAATATTCTTTCAGCTGCTTGTTACATGCACTTTGAACAGAATCCTACTTTTTATACTTTTACAATTACATTTTTTGTGCAGCCCTATTATAAACCAGCTACTACCAAGCATAAGACACTGCTTGCCAATTCCAAAAAAAAAAAATAAATAAAATAATAATTTTAAAAAGGAGGTCAGGTCAAGCACTTTACCAAACCTCTCTACAAACATGTTCTGAAATGCATGGGATTCTTGTTTTGTCTCAGTTCACATTTCAGTTTTTTTTGAAATGTTAATATTCTTTCAGCTGCTTGTTACATGCACTTTGAATAAAATCCTACTTTTTATACTTTTACAATTATATTTTTTGTGCAGCTCTATTATAAACCAGCTACTACAAAGCTTGGACTAAAAAACTTTGACTAAAAAACAATATTCTGTCTGCACCAAAAACAAAACTGAATGATTTTAAAGAAGGTCTGGCAACTTTATAAAGTCAGTGTTAATGGTTAATCGCTGAAAGTAAAATTACACATAAAACCAAACTGTAAAATGCATGAGGGAATATGTTGCGCAAAACGTGGCTGGTACTTTTTACTGCTGGGTAAACACAGCAGTTACTCAGTTACTCAGCCTAACAGGTGCTTGGTCCGATTCCAGCGCTTTAACTGCCCTGGTGAAATAATACATTGCATCGCATTGACAGCTATGCACGGGTCGGGCCAATTGTATTTGCAGGTACAAAGTCTACTGCGCGGCTCAGACACAGACTGCACTGTCTGACTCCCAAATACAATAAGTACATTATTCTTGTGCAGGAGCTGGGCAGGGACGCAAACAGTGAGACATGCACTTTTAGGCCGAGGGAGAGCTGCGTCATTCAGTGATTCAACAATATGCGCGGATAACAAGGGGTAAGGCTCGTTAGTAAGTCTGCACAATATAGGGAAGTCAAAAGTAGGGCTGGGTATCATTAAGAAGTTGCCGATACAATACATAGGCCACAATACAATACATATCTTGATACAGTACACTTTCGGTAAGATACGATATATTTCAAATCGATTCGATACGGTTCAATAAAAAAACTAAAGCTAAATCATGGCTGCGATACTAAAAGTCTTTGTTAAACCACTTCTTGTGCAAAGTTCATCTGAAAAATGCCCATTTTAATCATCAAAACAGTGAAAATGTCAAATGTGTTGCATAAAAAAAGATTCCTTCCTCTGAACAAGCAACAAAACTGCAGTGCTGTGACAATTAGTGAAAATATACCCCAAAATACTCTTGGCGATATATCGATACAGCAGCCCACGATATCGATACTGTATCATCACATTAAACTATACAATATATCAATATATCAATGTTTTTGCACAGCCCTAGTCAAAAGTATTGAAAATCAGATACGAATGAATGCTAATACTAATATCGGAAAAAAGTAACATTCACGGGATAAAAAATAAACTTTCCCGAAGAGCCTTAGAATGAATAATAACCGAAATATCGTATCGTCAAAAGTCTCGTAGACCGTCAGAACATATCAAACTACAAGTATCTTTACTTAAAATTTATTGGTATGGTGCAGCAATAGCTAAAAAAACAAAGGGAACTACATAGACCATGATCCTTTGGTGTTGTCAATAGAGACTTAACATTAATAACACTTTTAAATCTTAATACTTCATATTACAACAGGACCATTATTAACAGTTTTGTGTTTTTTTCAAGAATTAAGTAGCATATTCACAGTTTTGTTAGCCTCCACAGATATCACAATAAATATCGTTCCGTGAGATGCATATCGTGAAAATATCATATCGAGAGATTTGGATATCGTTACATCCCTAATCAGAACAAGTATAAGTGCACATAGAGAAGTATACGCCCATGGACCACTGTGGGCTTACACAAATATAAGGACACATGGTAATATAAAGAAAGTAGTATGATTTATTGATGAAAATTACATTCTGCTGTCTAAATAAAGAAAGTTTTTATCCTCATTGTGGTATCAGAATTAGTATTGAGGGTCTATTCTATTCCTTAGTATAAAAACAAGTTTGAAATTTTAGAAGAAAAGTGTAACAAGAAAAGTGCAACATTCCCTGGGGGGATGAAGCTCCAGAATGAACATATAAAGAGCTTCCCCTGTGTGAAAGATTAGCAGTCTCTTCTCTGACGTTGATTAATATTATAATGTGCACAAAAGATCGAGATCTTATCTTTTTTGGCCATATCACCCAACCCTTATCTGAGCTTTGTTTTGGCACAGTTTGGCCAGGAAGAACTGACTTCGCTGGAACTACAACAAGTTCCTCTCAAATAACATTATAGTCACAAGCAAGCTCACTAGGAATGTAAAGATAACCAAATCTCTCAGTACGATATTATCATGATATGCATCTCACTGTAGGACATTTATTGCAATATTTTATGGAGGCAAAAAAAGTGAGTTTGCTACTTTTCTCTCATCATAATCCAAATAATTAAGATTATTAAGATTAAGATTAAGATTTGGGATTCGATATATTGTGACAGCCCACGATATTATTGTGAGATTTTTGACGATATCACGATATTTCGATTATTGTTACATCCCTACAAGTAACATTATAGTCACAAACTAGCTCACCATTTTTACTGGAATCAAACACCATGACCATGAAACTTTGTATTGATCACACAGACAGTAAAATTTATCAAAAACAGTACATTTCTGTAAAATTGAGAAGTTTGTGCTGTTGTGATGCATTTATTTTCTGAGGATATTGACTACTGCATCAGCCAATACTGTGATTGCGATATTTTTGCGATATATTGTGCAGGTCTAGTGGGTCCATTTACACAGTTAATAATAATCAGACAATTTGAATAGTCAGACAGCCTGCTATTTACAGTAACTGTATTTGCAGACAAAGTACAATAAATTTTAAAATACAAGTAACTCTTTCAATCTTTAACTTTTATTTCATTGCCTTATTATAGTTTGACAACTTTTTATTAACAAATTTCCTTCTCAAAAGCTGCACATGTGTGAACAGAACTGAGAGAAATCAGATTACTCAGATCAGATGCAACCGTTAACGTGATTACAATAATCTAATAACTCCAGAAAGTAGATAATGCCAGTGTCAAAGTTGCAAAGCACAACATTATTATTATTTTTACTATAGCAAAACATTACCTATACGTACTATGGATACAATAACGGGATGTAACAATAACCGAAATATCGTGATATCGTATCGTCAAAAGTCTCACAATAATATCGTGGGCTGTCACAATATATCGAATTACAAGTTCCTTTGCTTAAATGCATGGTTTTATAGTAGCAACAGCTTATAAACATCGAGAACTACATATCCCATGATTCATTTCAGTGCAAACAACATGAACAGATATGTTTTTACTTAAATTCTTGCGACTATCATGGAAATAATTCACACCAAAATCTTGTCAAGGTATTTTAAAAGCAGAAAAGTGTCCTATCTACAATTATATCAGCCTCTTCGAAATATCGCAATAAATATCGTACCGTGAGATGCATATCGTGATAACATCGTACTGAGAAATTTGGATATCGTTACATCCCTAAAAGTCAATGATAAATATAGCGACTTGTTTCAGTAGAGTTTGAGTGTCTGGTCTTATTAATGCAAAAGTGACACCCTTTAGTTTACACCTCCACACTTTTGTTCTAATATGCATATAAATCTTGCTTTAATTAGCTGTGAAAATGTTGTAGTCTCTCAAACGCTGAACCCCCTGAAAGTAAAATCTGTATTGTGTTTAAAAATCGCACATCTCCACTTGAACACACAGCCATTTTTCCTTTAGTCTGACCAAATAAATTCTAGTTTGTGTGTCCTTACCTACACTACAGCACGAAACAGTCAGAAATAGAGGTATTGTGTAACATGAAACTTGCATAGGGTTGAAGTAGAACCATTATAGAGCCATTATGTTCTCTGTACACTCGCAGCACACACAAGGTCAGGCTTTAACCATTTGCTGCACGTCGCCCATGTTAATGCAAATGGCTGAGGTAATGCTTTAAATAATAAGTTTGTAACTATGGAGATCAACAGCGGCCGCCCACCCCCCCGTTCAGGAAGTAAATTTCTCATTCATTTTTCTCACAGACTTTCCAAAAAAAGAATGATAGTAAAAGTTTGAAAGCTTTCTCGGGGCTAATCAGTTACGCGGTGACTAATGAGCACAAGACCGGTAATTTTATATCAAATCTGTTTCTGAAACTTTAGTTATTAAAGTGCATTGTGTAACTTTTCTGGTGGAGGGTCTGTCACATGCTTTTCTCCATGTGGATGTTATCAGAAATGTTTCACAGTGTGGCGTTAAACCTGGCTATCTTCATGGAGACAAAACCAGGTCAAAATAATGGTTAGATCTGTGGAGAGGCGACCCCGCTCACAGTCAGAATGTGTGTTTTTCTAGGTATTTCTGAGAAATAAAGCCACCTGTAATTTAATAAATGTCAGGTAGAGATGTTTAATATCATATTGTAGAACAATGGTCTCCAACTTTTTTGTGCCATGAACCCGTTTTATATCCAACAATATTTCGGGAGGAGATGCGGTCCGCGAGGCGTACAGGAGGAGACCCGGTTGGTTTAGTTCTGGTTAAATCATGTTTTAGTCCTGGTTTAGTCCTGGTTTAGTCCTGGTTTAGTCCTGGTTTAGTCCTGGTTTAGTCCTGGTTTAGTCCTGGTTTTAGTCCTGGTTTTAGTCCTGGTTTTAGTCCTGGGTTTGACCTGGTTTTAGTCCTGATTTTAGCTCTAGTTTAGTCCTGGTTTTAACCTGGTTTGGACCTAATTTTAGTCCTGATTTTAGTTCTGGTTTAGTCCTGGTTTTGACCTGATTTTAGTCCTGATTTTAGTTCTGGTTTAGTCCTGGTTTTGACCTGGTTTAGACCACGGGAAACATGGGAGGAGGCATGGCGTACGCAAGAAGACATGGTCCATGCGGTGTACAGGAGGGGGCACAGTCCATGTGGCGTATGGGAGGGGGGGTTCACCTTTTCGCGGCCCGGTACCAAATGACTCACGGCCCGGTACCGGTCCACGGCCTGGGGGTTGGGAACCCCTGTTGTATAACATTCGAAGTAGAGCAATGACATTTCCATAAAAACAAAATAACCAACCAAAAAGTTACACAGAGCACCTTTAAAACAGTTGCAGAATGTTGGGTTTTAGATGTGCTTTTTTAACTTAATACAACCATGTTTTAGATCACCACAAAGCTGGTTAGCCTCCGCAATGCTGCTTTGAACTCTTGAACTGTATGGAAAATATACTTCTGGAACCGGAGTGGGCGGTCACTGAATCATTTGGATAATTTCAGCCCTGAAAGTGTCAATCTGCTGAACAAAAGGTAAAACGTAGCTATTAAAACATAGCTGAAAACAACCGCTTCATGACATCACAAGGTGGAACAGAGCATTTTGAGGTTTGGAGATGTAGACAGACTAATAATAAATGGTTACTCAAGCATGTTTGAATGGAACAAAACACAACTCCAGGTCTGTTTTGGATGAGCTAACAACATTCTGACATGGCTGAAAGCTCACAAGAGTCAATTTTGCATAATAGGACCATTACTCTGCCATGTCACTTATGAAGACGCAGTTTGCTCGTACTTCTCTGTATACATACTGTAGTAGTTTTTGTGCAAGACCCAAATGATTGTGAAAGCTTTGCAGTGCCACACCCCCCTTTTAGTTACTTAATCAATACACAGGGCATGCGTTTATTTAGTTAACCAAGAATTTCTTTTAGTCGACTATAGGGATGTAACGATATCCAAATCTCACGGTACGATATTATCACGATATTCATCTCATGGTACGATATTTATTGCAATAAGAGGCTAATATAATTGTAGATGGGACACTTTTTTGCTTTTAAAATACCCTGACAAGATTTTGGTGCGAATTATTACTGTCATAATCCCAACAATTCAAGTAAAAAACATATCTCTTCATGTTGTTTGCATTGAAATGAATCATGGGATATGTAGTTCCCTTACATTTATAAGATGTTGCTACAATAAAACCATGCATTTAAGCAAAGGAACTTGTGATTCGATATATTGTGACAGCCCACAATATTATTGCGAGACTTTTGACGATATGATATCACAATATTTTCGTTATTGTCACATACGTAGTCGACTACAGTCCTAAACATCTATTGCAGTCTTAAAAACTACCCAAAAAGCATGCAGAATAAATCTTCCTTAAATCAGTAACAGGTTTAGAGAGGTATTGTAGATAAATCCTATTTTGTACACAATCAAAGATACAGCAGATTCATGAAAGGTTTTGCAAAAACATCTATAGTAACATAATTGGTATGAGAAAACACCACAACTTCAAAAAAAAATCGGACTGCTATCAAATAAAAATTTGCAGCGTTTGCGATTTGCTCAATCCAAAGTAGCATAATTTCCTCCACAAACAACAAAATATTCTGTTTTATTTTGCATAAAAATAACAAATTCTGTAGTTTAGATCTGTAAAAACATGAAATGACTAGTTAAGTTCAGTCCATATGTCAGTCTTTTCCTCAAACATAAATCGCAAATCTCATAACAATCACAATGCTGGTCAGAAAAATCTAATTATTCAGCCTTAATCCGAACCCAGACCCAGACCACCACGCTGCTTTATAATGAACTTCTACGACAACTTTACACCCAATCTCACCTCTCAACATTCTCCACATTCTAACCGTGTAAAAGATGCTGTGTTCGTACCTCTTCCCCGCGGTCCTGTCCCTGGCCGCGAGCAGGGGGATGATGGCGGGGCTGCTCAGGTTTCCTCTCCCAAAGCCCTCCTCGCTCTCCACTTTCAGACCCCTGGAAGCGCAGTGGAGTCCAGCCAGCGCGTCGCTCATATCAGTCATGGGGGCCAGCTAGCGCCCAGGCATCATCTGCACTAGCGGCGCAGGCAGAGGAGAGGAGCAGGGAGCTGGGGAGGGAGAGAAAGAGAGGGAGTAAGAGAGCGAAGGAGGGTAGAGGGCGGTGGGTGGGTGGTAAGGGGGTAGGCTGGTGGGGTGGTGGTGGTGGTGGGGCTAAATGCTAACAGCTAACATTAAGATAATCCCTCCTACTCGTACTCCACACCCTGTAACATTGGAGATATTTATAGGTCAGTGAAACATTACCAGATCTTTCTTGTCATTATTCTGCAGTCTAGTTGTAAATGTATTCTGACTTACTGTTACTATCAGTTTTTTGATTAAAGTGGAACTAAACTTGAAATTTTAACAGCATTATCTCGTGTTTGTAGTCATTTTTTGTCCATTTTAAAGCAAACTACGTAAATTTGCAGCTTTCCGGTCAAGCATCTAGACCTAAGTGTTTGCTGCTCTCAGTGGCTTTTACAATTTCAAGCAGTTCGTCACATCACACATGACTGCCCTGATTTAAAGCCAGGTGTTTAAAGGCTTTTAAAGGTGCATTGTGTAACTTTTCTGGTGGAGGTTCCGTTACTAGGGCTGTAAAAATAACTGAAATATCATGATATCGTATCGTCAAAAGTCTCACAATAATATCGTGAGCTGTCACAATATATCGAATTACAAGTTCCTTTGCTTAAATGCGTTTTTTTATAGTAGCAACAGCTTATAAACATCGGGAACTACATATCCCATGATTCATTTCAGTGCAAACAACATGAAGAAATATGTTTTTTACTTGAATTCCTGGGATTATGATGGAAATAGTTCACACCAAAATCTTGTCAAGGTATTTTAAAAGCAAAAAAATTGTCTTATCTACAATTATATCAGCCTCTCCAAAATATCATAATAAATATCGTACCGTGAGATGCATATTGTGACAATATCGTACCGAGAGATTTGGATATCGTTACATCCCTCTCCATTACCTGCTTGTTTCTGGATATGTCACTGTAATGTTCCACAGTATGACAATAAACAGCTCTACCTTACATTTATTCCAGGTGGTTTTATAGCTCAAAAATACCTAGAAAAACAGGCATTCTGACTGTGAGCGGGGTTGCCTCTCCGCAGATACTTGTAAATGTTATCACCCGTAACTTGGCAAAGTTACAGGTAATAACATTTGCATGGAGAAAAGCATCTGACGGACCCTCCAGCAGAAAAGTTGCACAATGCACCTTAAAGAATGTGATAATAATTGATATTAAACAGTACCAGGGCAGAGACGACTTTTTATGAAAGAACACCTGCTGTGTTTTTGTCTGCTGGACAGCTATAATCTACAACACCCGTGGATCATGAAGTTATAATTTGCCTATTCTAATCCCAGTATTCAACTAAAATGACTTCCACATTAGAAAAACACAGCGCCCAGTGGGAGCCGACGTCACTGTCAACGTCATCACAACAATATCTGTCTCTGGTGGATAGGTACAGATCACGCTAGAAAGCAGTTAATTTTTTTTATTTGTACCAAAATGACTAAGCAACACTGAAGAATCCTACATGTATCACAGATTAATCAAATTAAATCAGAGAGTGAAGTAAATACAGAGCAGTGGCCTTATGCCAGGGGCAGTGAAACAGTGATTAATCAGCAATATGGAGTCTTGAAAATAAATGATTAAAGATTGCTCAAACATGCACGAATCACTCCAAATGTGACTCTGTGTTTGTAAATGGTGCTGGGAAACAACGATAATATGGGGTTAAAAGCTCTAAAAAGTCGATCTTGCATAATAGGTCACATTTTGTAGTTGACTGTGCAGGCAGCAATCCTCCTTGAACCCATCTCCACCGCAGCAGTAGAACCATTAGCCTCCTCACCCTCTCCAGCCTTTTCAAACTTCACTGCATTTCTGTCATTAAATGTTTATCCATTTAAAGGCAGTTATGAAACATGAGGACACAGGGTTGAACTAGAACAATGTAAACTTATCAAAGCAAAACTATTGTAGTATTGTATGTTGTGTACTGGACCTAAAGGGCTCATATTACACAAGCATTCTCTGATCTATGTTATAATGTTGTTTCCTCATCAAAACATACTTCAATATTGTTTCATTCACACGTTTAACACTCAAATCCTGCATATTTAGGCTGAGTTCTTCTCTCTGTTTCACCTTGTGATGTCATGTAAATACAGGAAGTGCTCCCTAATTTCAACCCTGGAACTGACCATCTGTACTGAACTAAAGGTAAAAGGAGCCGTTAACTTGAAAACTACCGCTTCCTGACATCACAAGGTGGAACAGAGCCTTTTGAGGTTTGGAGATGTAAACAGATTAATAATAAAGAGTTACTCAAACATGTGTGAATGAAACAAAACACCACCTAGGGTATGTTTTTGACGATGTAACAACATTATATCATGGTTTAAAGCTCACAAGAGTCAATTTTGTGTAATATCGGACCATTAAATGAGCCTAAATCAGGATTAAACCAAGATGGACGCTCAAACTTAGTGCAGGTTAGGTCAAAAACGTTGCAAGTAAATAATTAGCCAGAGTGATATAAGCTAAACCAGGAACTGAAGTTCAAGCTAAGGACTATATGCTTGTACCTGTACTATAATACTATAATAGTCTCTAATAGTCTAATGAACACTGTATGCAAATGTTGTGAGTAAAATGATGAAAGCAAACATGTGCGGTTTGCAGCGGACCAAAGTGTAAACAATGCCGTCTTTGTCAGTATTTGCATATCTACCACATCTATAAGATTTGGATTCAAATCAAGAACAACAATGACTAAAATAACAGGCTGGTTGTTATTAGGGATTATGTGATGATTTGTCAGCAGTATTAGTGCGGTGTGCAAAAGGTTCAACTGAGGTAAGACAAGGACAATAACGTTTACGGCTCTATATTACACAAAATAGATTCTTGTGGGTTTTAAACCATGATATAATGTTGTTAGTTTATCAAAAACACACCCAGATTTGTGGTTTGTTTCATTCACACATGTTTGAGTTATCATTTATTATTAATCTGTCTACAGCTCCAAAGTTCAAAATGCTCTGTTCCACTTTGTGATGTCATGAAACGGTAGTTTGCACAGCTACTTTTTACCTTTTGTTCAATAGATTGGCAATTCCAGGGCTGAAATTATCCAAATGATTCTAGTGAAGACATACGGAGTTTAAAAACACAATGGAGTGCTGTATTACCACACGGCATCACAAGGTGGAACGGGGTGTTTTCTGTTTGAGAGAAGAATTCAGCCTAAATGTACGGTGTGTGTTAAACATATGTAAATGGGGGGAAAAAAAAAACACAACTCTGGGTATGTTTACGATGAGAAAACAACATTATAACATAGATGAGAAAATCATAGAAAGGCAGACAAATTTATTAAATTATTCCTGAAATACAGTAATGAAATAAATTCATGTATACAAAATGCAAAAACTGGCACAGGCTTAATATAGTTGTTTGATAATCCACATGTCCTCAGTGTCCTGACTAAACCAGGTCTAAACCAAGACTAAAACAGGTCTAAATCCAGACTAAACCAAGACTAAACCAAGACTAAACCAGGTCTAAATCCAGACTAAACCAAGACTAAACCAAGACTAAACCAAGACTAAACCAGGTCTAAATCCAGACTAAACCAAGACTAAACCAAGACTAAACTAAACAGGTCTAAATCTAGACTAAACCAAGACTAAACCAAGACTAAACCAGGTCTAAACCAAGACTAAAACAGGTCTAAATCTAGACTAAACCAAGACTAAACCAAGACTAAACCAGGTCTAAATCCAGACTAAACCAAGACTAAACCAAGACTAAACCAAGACTAAACCAGGTCTAAACCAAGACTAAAACAGAGTCTAAACCAGGTCAGAAACCAAGACTAAACCAGGTCGAAACCTGGACTCATCTTGGACATGAGAGTGAGAGAGAGAGACAGAGACAGAGACAGAGACAGAGAGAGAGAGAGAGAGAGAGAGAGAGAACCCCGAGCTCGTTGAGCAGGGTGTCCACACCCGACGGTCTACATGGGCTCAACTCCTAGTCCTAGTTCAGTCGTCCTAGTTCTGTCCTGGGATCAATCCTGGTTTAGTCCTCCTGGTTCAGTTCTGGGATCAGTCCCGTTTAAGTCCTCCTAGTTCAGTCCTGGTTTAGTCCTGGTTTAGTCTCCTGGTTTAGTCCTCCTGGTTTAGTCCTCCTGGTTTAGTCCTCCTGGTTTAGTCCTCCTGGTTTAGTCCTCCTGGTTTAGTCCTCCTGGTTTAGTCTTGGTTTAGTCCTCCTGGTTCAGTTCTGGGATCAGTCCTGGTTTAATCCTAGTTCAGTCCTGGTTGAGTGCGGAGGGTCAAAACTGGATTAAACGGAAACAGCCATTATCTGGTTTTTCCATTATTATCCATAAACACAAAATCAAAAATTGAAAATAAATAAATAAAAAAAACAATCATTATTCGTGTTTTTCATTTCATTTTGATTTTGGAGTCAAATAATGAAGAAAATAGCTGTTTTTTTGTTTGTTTGTTTTTTCATTTTCTTATTTTTAGTTTTATTTTGAAAAACGAATGAACGCATGAAACAGACTTTTTTTGCCTCCTCGCCCCGTTCTCGTTTATTAGTTTATTAGCTCACAAACATTAGCAGCCGTGTGGAGTTAGCGGGGATAATGTCGTGTTGCTGCAGCACACAAAGAAAGCCCATACGGATAAGAAACGGGACATTTTGATTAAGACTGACTAAACTGCACAGTGAAAGTTTGTCATGTGTGAAGAGAGGTACGCTCCAACTCCAGTGTAAGAATGCTGACGCTGCAAAATACTTTCTACTGCTGCTGCTACTTCTTTGGCACAAGTTGGCTAAAGACTGAAGCCTGTGCAGTTCTTGAATACATGGTCAGTGAGAGGCTGTAAAAGCACACTCCAAAAGCCTTACGTAACACATTGTACTCAGCTCGGATCCATGCATGAACCTACAGACCAGGTAAAACATGTGGAGCAGTCTTTATTTTCCTTACGTCCTGTACGTGCACGTCACGCAGATGATCGATCCAGTCTGATTCAGTCCCGCGCAGAAGAGTACACAAGAGTCTTACCTCTGTGTGTGTGTCTTACCTGTGTGTGTCTCACCTGTGTGTGTCTGCTGTCAGAGCACCTCATGCTGCAGCCCTCGCGCGCTCCTCTGGCTGTGCGCGGCTGCACGTGGAGCACAGGTGTCCAACTGGAGCGTCATGACGTCACACCGCTGGGAGGCGTGAGTGAGTGACAGCTGCGTTCAGCATGGGACGTGTGGAGTCATTTATGCAATGGAACAGTGAAAAAAAAAACTTTATGCAATGGAACAGTGAAGAAACTACATGCAATGGATTAGTGAAAAAATTTATGCAATGGAATGGTGAAAAAAACTATGCAGTGGAATAGAGAAAAAAAAACTGCAAGAGAATAGTGAAAAAATGTTTTGCAATGGAGTAGAGAAAAAAAACTATGCAATAGAATTGTGAAAAAGTTTTATGCAATGGAATAAAGAATAGACGCAGGCAGCACCATGATGAAGTCTTTATTCACGGCAGTACACACAGACACACACGTGCACCGCTAACATCAGTGTATTATCTGTAACTCAACTTCTCTGTTTATTTACATTTAGGATTTAAGGCATAAAGAAAGCCTGTAACCATTTTCAGAATTAAATTAAAATAATTACAACTCTGTAAATCAGATGAATAATTTAAGCAACTGTTTCGGGGTTACAGTTTAACACGTGACAATTTTAATGCATTAAATGCAAATAATCTAAAATACAATCAAAAATAATTATTTTAAGATACAATTCAAATTAGGGTCACTTTATAAAGTGTGAGAAATACAGTAACTATACGATATATACAGTGTATAATAGTACAGAAAAATATGTGTAGACAATATAATTATATTTTATTATACATTTTTCATATTTTGTCTCTTGTCTTACAGTAGCTGGCATACTGTCCGGAGATAAGGCCCCTCTATAAATGGGTTTCTCCTTCCACTTCCACTATGCCACTGATCACAGGGGCCTGCTGTACATGATCTAAAGTGTTGACCTTCTCTGTCTGCTCCTCTGTTTCATCCACCTGGAATCACAAACACACACTCTCATTACTGCATGGACTTTTGTGTGAAGTTAAAATTGTTAAAATTGTTAAATCAAGTCAATTCAATCAAGTCAAATCAAGTTATTATCTCCTCAAATGCAATTACAGCAGGCAACAGATATTACACTTAACTATGTAATGAACAGTGGTGGAACTTGATCTTGTTACTCGAGTAAAAGTACAGATACTGGAGCAAAAAATACTCAACCCATAACCTATTAACGAGTAAAAAGTAAAAGTATTCTGCACAAATTTTAAGATCTAATAAAGCTTCAAATGTAGTGGTTTTGATAAAGATTTGAAACGATCAATTGAACAACTGATTCAATCTTTGTTTTTTTTTTCCTTGCTGTTTTTCTTTGTCTAGTTTTGCATTAAAAATAAACCCTTAGCCTTTTCAGCAGGTCTCAAACAATAATAAAAAATACTTTTACTTTCAGTCCAGTTCAAAAATGTAGTGGAGTAGAAAGTGAAAAATATCCGCTGTAAAATATAAAAAGTAAATACAGATACCTAAACTTTTTATTATACAAGTACAGTATTGATATCACAACCAGACTCAACATTTCTATCAATCCTCACCTTTTCCTTTGACCTCAGGAGCGGAGACTGCCTCTTGACCGGTGAAAAGGATGGAGAGCGAGTTGGGGAGAAGGACGGCGAGACGGTGGGCGATTTGGGGGACCGTGGAGCGCTGGTCAGAGAATGGCTCCTCTTCACCGCCGACGACACTGCCTGCGCAAACTTCGATGGCGTGGACGGCGAGTAGGGCCTCGGTGCCGCAAAACTCCTCAACTTCTCCAAACTCAACCCCAGACTTGGCTGGGCGCTGCTCTGCCTTATCAACACTGGTTCTTTATGCTCCTGTTTGGGACTTGTTGTGACGCTGCCTCCCTCTGCTGGCTCTTTCGGGGATTGCAGGGGAGAAAGAGGAGGAGATGGTATTGCTTCTTTCTCTTTATTTTTTGGCTTTGGGCTGGTCGGGCTTGTACTGAGTTGACTCTTCTCTGCTGCAGATGTTACATAATAGCCAGGTGTCTTTTTGAGATGTAAGCGGAAGGATCCCGGTTTAGGCTTGGTTGCGGGGGGAATTTTAACTTCTTTGACTTCTATGGGCGAACCTGCTTGCAAATCTGTAGGAGTAGTAGTTGATGCAGTAGAAGTAGAAGTAGTAGTAGTAGAAGTAGTAGTGGATGATGCATGATTTGAAGCTGTTGACTCCTGGATACTCCCATTTATAGTGCTTTGGGTAACACTAGTAGTATTGCATTTCTCCAATTCTACCTTTTCTGATTGTACAGTTTCTTTTACAGTTTCTTGTACAGTTTGTGGTTCAGTTTGTGGTTCAGTTTGTGGTTCAGTTTGTGGTTCAGTTTGTGGTTCAGTTTGCGAAAATATCTTCCTCAACTTGCTGATTTTCTTGTGAATTCGGAGGTGGGGCTTCCAGTGTTAAGGCTACTTCAAAATACCTCAACTTTTCAAGCGATTTTTGAGGCACAATAGTGTAAGTCGTCATCCCTACTTTGGGAATGTAGTCTCGCGTGAGTTCGTTTGAAGGTTTGGGTTTGGGTTCAAGTTCGGACAATGGGACCTTAGCCCCCGGAGAAGAAGGTGAAGCGGCTATGTTTAAACTCTCTTCCAAATCATCCGTCAGCGTGGCCATGTCTTTTTTCCCTGATTCGGATAGACTCGGAGAAGACGGGGTGTCTGATGGAACGTTATCCGGATGTTGAGAAACAGGAAGCGAGGTCAAGTCTGTTTGGACTTGTGCATCCTCTCCAGTGGTTTGCGTCGCAGTGCTGGGGGGAGGTGGGCTCAGGGGCGGCTGGCTGGTTGCTTCGATGACAGTGTGGTCCCCGGATGGTGCAGAGTCCTCAGAGGTGGGAGGAGGAGGAGAAGGAGAATGAGGAGGAGAAGGGGGGGACGAGGCCTGGGTCTCTGCGTCCCGGAGCAGAGGAGGAGGTGGGAGGAGGCGGGCAGGGCTGGGGAGGGTGTCACTGTTAACTTGGATGCTCTCAGTGCAGTCTTCGCATGTGGATGGCTCACCTTTAGAAAAATAAAGAAGATTTTAGTTAATAATATTTACAACTAAGAGTGAGAAGAGTAGAGGTGTGCAAATATATAAAAATATCAATATATTATATCACTTAATGTAATGATACAGTGTCAATATCATGGGCTGGTGTATCGCCAAGAGTATTTTTGGTATATTTAACTAAATTATTTTGTTACAGCGCTACAGTTTTGTTGCTTGTTTAGAGGTAGGGAACTCGTTTATGCAGCATATTTGACATATTCACTGTTTTGATGAGTAAAATAGGCGTGATTCATATTAACTTTGCACAAGAAGTGGCTTTATAAAGACTTTTAGTATCACAGCCGCAATTGAACCTTTATTTTTTAATTGAACCGTATCGAGTTGATATAAAATGTATCGTATTGAACCAAAAGTGCACTGTATCGAGATATGTAACGTATCATGGCCTAAGTATCGAGGTATGTATCATATCGGCAACTTCTTAATGAGAGAAGAGGTACAAAACCAACATTTTTAGGAGCACTTGCCCATATGTATTTTATGAATTATTTTCAGTAACAGTTTGACACATTGTTTGTAATATTGAGCAATTTATTTAAATTTTATTTTAGTTTTAAATGGTGAAAGATTAGTTTGCTCGCTGTTTTAATCAAGAGGTCTCCAGCCAGTCCTCTGTCAGTAACAGGATGTGGTTCAGAGCAGAGTTCAGAAATGTTTCTTTTTGTGTGTTAAATGGCCGTTATTAAAAGTCATGTTCATAAAATTAATATTCAAAGCCACATTTGACCTGTTTTTGATAAGAAAACATACAGCTGACAAAAAATATGTATCTTGAGGTAGAACTTGTCTTGTTCCATCACCATTTAAAACATTAAAAGTTGTCAATTATTGGACATAATTTAAGTTTTGTAAATGATTCTGCTTAGGGTTCGGTTTTAATATTATCGTTATTCTTCTATATTTACTTCAGCACTTCAAAATGTGTGAAAATATTCTTAAATTTTTAGTCAGTGTTGATTCCTGAGAGCATTAAATCAGAAAAGAATCTTACTTTTGGACATACTGTGCTTAAAATCTTGTCCAATAACAACCCTGACATTTAGTATTGGAACAGGCAATAACTTTTGACGCTTTTATGGTGAGCCAAAAAGTACAGGGTGTTTTTATAATTGTCTCACCTTGTGGTTTCAGTGTTCATAAATCATAAGCCAGTCTCATTCAATTATCGAAACAGTAATATTCTATGAACAGGGGTTTTTCTATTCCTGGCTGAGGTAATTTTGTAATTTTGTTAAAACGCTACAATTAATTCTTTCACACGTTCTTTTATAGCTTACTTGTGTCTGGCAGTTCAGTCAAATCTTCGGCGTCCACTTTTCCCAGCTCTATAATATTTGCAGAATCGTTCACTTCACTGTGCACTTGGCCGTTACTGCGACAAAATAAAAAAGTATTTTAAAGTGTTGCTAATGCTTTTTACAAACTTTTGGAGAGAGACTCGAACACATCTTGACTATAGTTCGTACTTGCCGTCTGAGGAAAGGTCTACCCCATTCTCTTCTACTTTTTCTACAGATATCTCCATCGCAGTCTCGGTGGGCGGGGTTTGCAGTGTCACGTCAGGCGGTGCATTGTGGGTAGTTTCGTCCTGGGCAGTGCTGACGGTTGTAGACATGGTGGGGGAATTTGTCTCCTCTTGCTCCTTTATCTCCTCTAGTGCGGTGGCAGGTGGGCTTGCTGTAAAAACATGAACACCAATAAACTATATTAGCCAGGGAGCAAGATCATTTAAGTTTATTTTTATTATATTTTTAATTTAAATTTTGACTTTCTTTTATTTGAAACATTTTCTTATCAGATCTCCTGATATCGTGTGAAGCCTTTGGTGACTGTTTTGAAACTATCTCACCCAAGGACAGAACAGAATGAACGTATGTAGGGTCACGGGCAGAACCTTTGTGTTAGTAGATATATCAACTGATTCATTAATGTTGGAGTAATCCTGTATTTTCCTAGCCTTATTCATGAGCCAGTTTCACTTCATGGAAACTGTCTGACCTCGCAGCATTAGGATTCGTTAATTCGACCATAGGTGGGTACTTTTTTTACCTAACCAATAGCTGCTATTTGGTCATGACGTACTGTACGTAATGCGCCAAATCCCGTAGGAAGAAGAGCAATAACGTCTTTCCCCTTGATAAAATTCACCAAACATTCTCTTTATTCTGGCTTTAAATCCTCAATCTCGGGAATTGTTGCCAACACAGAATGTATGGCTTTATCTACATCCATCTCGACCGTTTTGTTTACTGTTGTGCTGTACCACAAAAGGGACCCAGACAGGCGCTTGAGTTTGACGTCATGGCTTCACAGCTCTTCGCTGATTGGCTGGTGTGAGGTCTACAACTTCCAGGGTTCTTGCAAACTAGTGTATTCCAATTTTTGACCTAGTCGCTGGAGATAAATGTCATGTAATCTATACTGAAATGGAGCAAAGGATCATGGGATCAAGGATCTCATCTTTTTTTTAGCTTTTGCTGCACCATAACCCTTAATTTAAGCAAAGAGACTTGCAATTCGATATTGTGATGGTCCACGATATTATTGTGAGACTTTGACGATACGATATCATGATATTTCCCTAATAATAATAATATGACTCTGAGTCATATATAAAAGAGAAATCTTATTTCTGCAACTACAGAAACTTAATTTTAAGCCTTATAAATACTTTCATGTATACAACTATTATTTTAAAACAAAATGTGAACACTCTTTCATTCTCGTGTTTTAAGAACTTAACTACGGTGGTTTTAAAAATTAGTGCGAAAACTACATTCCTTCATTTTCCACTTCAAAGATGGATTATAAAAGAGTAGGAAGTCAGACCAAGTTTCAAGGCTACTGAAACCAAACTACGCATTCCTTACAGTCTGTGCGCTGAGAAAACACAGGAAGAGGATTTTCAGTGTAGGCCTTCCCAGAAACACTGACTAATAACAGCGGTGGGTACAATTTAGCGTCCAACTTTGCATGGGTCTTCCAATTGTCCTGAGGAGGGAACCAGGATATTAAACACGTACTAAATGATTTCCTTACTTTGAGAACCACAACAGTGAGTAAACATAATGATCTCCACAAGCCAAAAGATTACTTCACTTTAATCACTACAAATGTACACTGTAAAACCCAGTATCTAGATACGTTTTATTTATTTGTTTGTTTTTTATTTATGTATTTATTTTGGGCAAGTACGCATTTTACGTTCTTTTACAATCATCCAAAAACAACCTCACCCCAGACAGTGGCTCCTCTTTTCTGCATCACTCAAGGAAAATGACTTCAATTAAGAATATTTTACTTTATTTGAGTAGATTTAAGTGATATTATACACCTATGGAATAAGTGTGTTTTTCTTAATTCAACATTTAAGCAACATTTGATTTTGTTTCTTATTTTAAGTGCACAGAGTTGTTGTTTTTCTTATCTTAAAGGTGTAAATTTGTTCACAGTATGGTATTAAACAAATATATCTTGTATCTATTCATTTACAGGAGTTTTTATTTCTCGAAACTAACATAAAACATGGATTATTACTGTGAGCATGTCCATTTCTACACAGATCTGACCTGTAACTTGGCCTGGTGATGTGGGCTGCTTGTAAAGTACAGTACAAAAAGTCTTGTTCCACTGGTAGATAATTTTACTTGTCAAGTGAAATTTACTCAAATCATGATTAAAAAAACTTAATTCAAGTAATATTAACTTGGCTAGATTTTAGTTTTTACAGTTGCATTATAATTCCCAGAAAGTATTGGTTTATGTAAATACTTCTGTGCCCAGACGCAGGTGGAGTTTTCCTCTTTAGGACAATACCCATACATGTGTTATGCATATTAGGACAAAGGCAGGAAAGTGTGTCAAAGGGAGATTTAAACTACAGAAAGAAAAGGAAAGGAAAAGAAGGTGTAAGGAGATTTGTGTCTGAATGGCTCAAAGCATTTGAAGCTAGAGGCCACTGCAGTCAAGTGGGGCACTGCAGGGGGTGGAAACAGGCAAGAAATAGAAAGGAACAAATATGAAATACCTAGAAAACATTTGTTCCATTTGCCTGGCTCTGTGCTCCAAGTGTTTTCAAGTTTTAGTGATAAGAATTACAAAAAAATAATAGTGCACTTGTGTAGCTTTTCTGGTGGAGGGCATGCCACTGGCTTATCTCCATGGAGATGTTATTGCTTTGTCTAGGACACTCCACATTAGAGGTTAAACTAAATCTATCTCAAGGGAGACAGCTAGGCGACATTACAGGTCAGATCTGTGGAGAGGCAACCCTATTCACAGACAGAGTTGAATAAAATATAGATAGATGTGTTTAATGTCATAGCATGGAACATTGCTAGCCTTAATTTATCAGCTGGTTTCACTTTGTGGAAACCGTCTGACCTCGCAGTATTAGGATTCGTTCACTCGACGGTAAGCAGGTACTTTTTTTATTTAACCAGTCGCTGCTATTTGGCCGTGACGTATGTAATGCACCAAAACCAGTTGATAAAATTCACCGAACGTTCTCTTTGATTCAGCTTTAAATCCTTGCCAACACAGAATGTTGTGCTGTACCACAAAAGGGACACAGACAGGCGCTTAAGTTTGACATCATGGTTTCACAGCTCTTCTCTGATTGGCCGGTGGCGCGGTCTACAACTTCCGGGGTTCTTGCAAACAGTTTAGTGCAGACATGTCAGAGTCAGGCCTGGGAGCCAAATTTGGCCCACGATATAATTATATTTGGCCTGCAAGATCATATCAAATATGTATTAGAGCTGGCCTGCCGGCTACAGAGACACTATTTATTATTTAAAATTTTGTTAGTATTTTATATTATGCTTGTTCTGGTTTCAATGTTTAAGGAAAACTGTTATTAAACATTTATTTTAATTAGAAAAGTTTTAACATTACATATCTCGAAAGAAGAGAAAACATGCAGATGCTGTAGAAATTTTTCAATAAATATTTTGTTTGTCCCACGACTTAGTCCCAGTTTTTAATTTTGGCCTCTGTGAATTTGAGTTTGACACCCCTGGTCTAGTGTATTCTGATTCCTGACCTAGTTGCTGGAGAGAAATGAAATTAAGGGAAGGTACTTGGTGGCACCAGCCTGGTTACAAAGTTTCAGCCTCAACCAGAAAAGTTACACAGTGCACCTTTAAATAATACATTATTTGAGACTAAGTACACAGCATAGATGTATTGTCCATCCTAAATTGTAATTACTAGTTAGTCTGCTATAATAATATAATTTAAAAATAACTACTAAGTCCCATTTTCTATTGACAGCCTGATGATTTGGAAACAGACAATGTTCCGTTACGGCCACTAGATGGCAGTAAATTGTATTCTTTGCAGATTCTTGTACAGTAAAGTCAAAGCTAATCAACAAATGCCTTGCTTACATTGTGACATAAAATGAAACTATGAACACAGATATCAAATAAACATCTATAGTAATAATAATAATCAAATATAAATGAGATAAGACTTCACACCTTGCAGATCGTCTGGACAGAGAGTTTCAGTTTGTGCCACTACACCAGGGGAGGAGGGGGGTGGAGGAGCTTTCCTTTTGGTCCTTTTTAGTGAAGAATCTGTTGAGGATCCACGACTTAAAACAGGAGTCTAAGCAGAGATAATAAGAATACATATAAAATAAACAAAAATATATCATAAAAGTTTGTATTACACATAGTTATGACACAGGGCAAGTACTGATACCAGTGAAAAATGAAATAATTTTGTTTGGAAATACCTAGGTCTGTAACAATAATACTGTATTTCAAATGTTCAGATTTATTTGTTTGGACGATAAGCCCCTTGAGATGTCTCGTCATTTCCTTTTTCCTCGAAATCACAACAACAACAGATACAACAGATACAAAACAGGGCGGACAGTGAACTACATAAACTCAAAACACAGAAACAACTAAACAAAACAGCTAAATAAACACAAGTATACACACATACTCACTCACACGAGACTGTCAAATTCAGAATAAGTAAAGTATGAACAAAACCAAATACAGAATTCAAACATGGCAATAAAAACGGTCAACATAAAATAATAAAATATTGTACCAAAGCATTTTTAAACCAAGGAACAGGAGTTAAAGTGCAAATATATCAACTTATCATTCAATAACACCGTATATACTAGTATTGTTTTTATGTTTTCTTTACAATTGTGCAGAATAATTTGTCACTTTTTATTTTACAATCAACTCTGAGCTATAAAAAGGTTGAAAAAAAAAAAAAAAAAAAAAAAAAAAAGATTCCGGGGCTGATTATAGATACTAACTCTTAGTTCCTCCTTGTGCTATAGTGAACACTTTATTTCGCTCTCTGGTAGGCCTGTCATGAGAACAAATGTTGAAGTTCGATATATCGCTGAAGTAAATACAGATGATAAACAATAATATCGAAACTAAATGATGCCACTGACACAATAACTCAAGCAAATATTTAAATCACTAAAACGATTCTAAAGCTACAATAATGTCTGTAATGAGTCATACCAAAATGTTCCCAGTAGTGCAAAGAAAACATAAACAGGATAAATACTGACCCGCCCCCCCAAAAGACATAGTTCTGGCTTTTATATATTGATTGATAAGTCGATATAGTAATTATTGTGACAGTCCATGGTGATATTTTTTAGCAAAAGATCGAACTTCAATTTGGATACGATCATAAACGATACATTTTGTGCCTTCTTTATCATTATTATTAGTTTGAACGAATTAAAACAAAACTGGAATCTTTAAAAAAAAAAAAAAAAGGGAGAAAAAAGTGATTGTATTTCTGTTAAAGGGGTGAGTATATGGATCAATCTGAGTGATGATTTTTAAAAAGTCTAACACTCTAGAAGAGTATAAAGCGTTATGTTTTGAAAAGATATAGAGCTCTGGAATGAATAAATTATGTATTAAATTTAGTTAGTTTTAATTTATATTTTGTCTCATACACAGTAATTCGTAAGTGAAATTGTAAACACAAATTTGCTGTTTTTGCTGCTTTTCTTTCTTGAAATTCTGTCTTTGTTTAAAAGGGTTTGGCATTATAAGTATTTTTTTTTACTTCAGTCTAAACCCTTTCGGTCATGATCCATGGGGTTGTACTCTATGTTTTGTTTTATTTTGTTTAGTAGTGCTGCAAAATGACAGAATAAAAACTAAAAACTAGGATCCTATATTGTGAAAAACTATGAGCTTTAAGCCATGTTATAAGGTTATTTCCTCATCAAAAACAGAGTTGTGTTTTGTTTCATTCACACATGTTTGAGTATCCTCGACAAAGCTCAAAATGCTCTGTTCCACCTTGTGATGTCATATAGTGGTAGTTTTCAAGTTAACAGCTACATTTTAGTTTTAGTTCAGAAGAGATTGGCAATAGAAATTTTCAGTTTTCCTGGTTGAGGCAAGAACTCAGCCTTAAATATGCAGGATGTGTGTGTTAAAATATGACAATAAAACAAAAAAAAAACACAACTCCGAGAAAGTTTTTGATGAAGAAACAATACTTTAACATAGATCAGAAAACAGAGTAATATAAGCCTTTTAATACAATCATTTTTATCATATCTAAACCAGTATCAGTCTAAACAAACAACCGCAAATCTACATTGAATCAGTACACTATGATAAAGTTTTGCCCTTGCACGTCCAGCCACGTCCCTACCATTAATAATAAAATAAACAGCTAAATTGTGAAACTTTTGAATTACGTACACATATATAAACATTGCACATCGCTACAATAGTTAATTACTAATCGACGTCCGCTCACCTGATCAGTGCTGTCCAGTCTGACGCAGGGTTCAGAGTAGAGCCTGTGTCTGGGGCTAAAGTCGGACGGGCAGCTCTGTTGGGACACCAGGATGGGGGGCTGGGGGGCGCGTCTCTTCTTGGGGGCGTCGGATCCAAACGGAGAGGAGTTGGTGCTGGGTAATGCCATGCTGAGAGGACGCGGTCGGCTCTGGGGCAGCACTGGGGAGGACGGGGCACTGGCAGTAGTAGCCTTTGAAAGAACAAGAACAAACATCCAGCGAAGGCATCAGTGATAAGAGCTGGATTTCCAAATAACACAGCGACCAATGGCAGCAGTAAGCGCACAGACCTCCCTCTGCTGTATTCAATAGGTCACGTTTTAGATGGAATCATTTCTAAATCTCAGATACAGGGCAAGGGTCACTATTGTTAAAGGGCCCGGCAGACTTTTCTCAGCTTTTAGCAATTCTGTGCTTCAGTTCATGCATACCTTTGAGGGAAATTCATTATTTTTGAGGGGTGAATAGTGAATATTATGTAGTTGCATCCATCTTTTTGCAGAAGTGTATCTCAACGTTTAAAAAAAACATAAAAATCTAAATCAAAACCATGACCTTTCTGTGTCACCAGATATGAAGAAAACATCTACAGATATAGCTTTTACTGATAACAATACTGATTTTGATAACAATGTTGATTTAATATTAATTATAAAGATATTGTATGATCCACAAGTTGTTTATGTTACCATTTTATGTTTAGGTTCTCAGTCAGAAAGCAGAATAAGCCTCTTGTTTGGGTCGCCTTTTTAACCCTTCCAGACCTAAGGGCAGTTTTAGTACATTTGTCCTCGCCTGGATTTTTTTCTTAATTTTGCATTTAAAACTTTCCCTTTTACCCCCCAATGAAGTGTTATACATTTTTTTTCAGTACAACCTGTTATTTCGATCAGCATGCTGTAGTTGTGTCATATGGCTGTAATAAAAACTATAGGACCAGAAATACAAACGAAAAAAAAAAGAAAAAAAAAAGGAAAATAAAATACACACTCTTTCATACAAAACATGTATAAACAACTTTTTGGACATAAATATGCTTAATTTAGGGCCTTAGCTACAAAAGTGCAAAATATTAAGTCTGTAAGTGAAACTAAAAATATTCTTACTGCCCTCAAAACAAAAAAAAAGTGAAACTGCTGCATGATTTTCCTGGTGTCAGTCGTGGAAACAGCTGGTGTCAGGTCCAGGGCATGGAGCCACATCACTTCCTGCATTTCCATGGGGTTTATTACATTTGGATTTGTACATTTTGACTGAAATAAACCTTTCAAATAAAAATAGCAAGGGATGCACAATTTACACAGAACAAGACGTGTAATTTGTAATTTATTTGAGAACTAACTGCAGTTAGAGCGGATTTTTCAATTGTTACAAAAATAGCAGTCGACTGTTTTGACTCACTACACTCTTTGGCAAAGTTTGGGCCAATCAAAATGGATGGAGTGCATGCATTTGGCTGAAAACAAAGTTCCTATTGGACATTTGCTAGGAAAGCTACAAGTCCCAGCTTTTCAAGGGGAAAAATTAAGTTTCTGTCTTTTATGGTTGGAAAGTTATGGGCGGTTAAATAAAAGATATTCCCAGGAATTGTATACAATACCGTCGGTCTGGAAGGGTTAAATGTTGAAATCCAGTCGATTTAAAGCTAATACCCTCCCTCTGATTTAAATCGCCACCATCTATGAACGCGGCAACATGAGCTGTAAATGCAGTGTATGGATGTGGTGACTGATATTGAATGGGATTATGGTTTTACTTACTGACTGACTGGATGAATGATTGCATTAATATAAACTACTCGTCAAAAGTTTTAGAAAGCACACATTTTTCCAGTTATTTATTGCAATTCAAATCGTGCAAGTCCAGTGTAGAGCTTGAAATGGTGCAAAGGTAAGAACTGAACAGAAGGTTAAAAAAACAGATAAAAGGTAACAAAAACACAAGTCCAAGCTCTGCCAAAACTACCTCAGGTAAAAAAAAGAACAAGGTGATAAGCTTGAAAACATGAAGTGTCCAGCACAGTCTCCAGACTTAAAACCCATTGAGCTGGTTTGGAATGAACTGGACAGAAGAGTGAAAACCAAGCAACCTACATGTGCCACACATTTATGGGAACTTCTGCAACAGACTTGGGAAGAACTTTTTGAAGATATTCGATTTCTATTGTAAAAAGAACGAGGCACAAGTGTGTTCAGCTGTTATATCTGCCAAAGGTGGACACTTTCATGAATCAAAAGTTTAGAATACATTTTGGTCAACAGTAAATAGTAAAAAACTGGAAAAAGTGTGCTGTTCTAAAACTTTTGACCGGTAGTGTACTTTGTATTTTATTGCCACATATGCCACTTATGACAACAGCCTGTTCAAGGACTGAAGGTGAAAATGAAGCTTTAACTTGGCTATAACCTGTCATAAACACATTACCTCTTTGCGTAGGTCAGTTTTTTTTCATGTGCATTGTTCCTTATAAATAAATCAACTAAACTGGACCTCAGCTGTACCTGTAACCCATCATGAGTCAGTGCTAGTGCAGCCTCTACAGCTCAGTGAGTGAATTCTGGAGGTTCAAAGCATCTGAAGCGCAGCATCAGCAACCCATGTTCAGCCGTTCACTCAACTTTTGTTTTGATATTTATGAAGCTTGAAGTGCTTTGACTAAGACACATCTGCAGTTATTGTTCATATTTTTATGATCTTTTATATTATTAGTATCAGAAAATTCCTCACAGTCTTACGTCTCAATGAACCAACAACCAATAAACTCACTATACAATATAATAAAATAATAAAATATGAATCTTTACCTTTTCTGGTTTGCTTTTCTTGCTCCTCCTGAACATGCTGAAGAGGCCTTTATTCTCTTCTTCTTTCTGATTTTTATCTTTGCCTGGCGTGACCAATCCTTCAAAACAAAAACAAACAAGGTAAGATTATATCGGTGGGAATTATGGGATCATCTTGTCACTCATTTAAAACCGTACCTGGAGAAGCAGGTGAGGCGGGACACACTGGAGACGCCGGCACTGAAACCACACAATATTGCCAAAGACTATTAGCAACGACAGGTGGAAACAAGTAGTATATTCACTGGAAGTAACATTGTGTACTTTTTGTACAATGCTGTTTGTACAATAAACGGAAAGAAGTTAGTGGGAATGTACTTTTGAATGAGTTGTTGCTTTGGAGTGAAAATGTGGGAACAAATGACTGCTATAGATCGATTGATGGGTTTTTTCATTGCCAATGCCAAAACAAATTTAGAATCCAGAGAAACTGATGGTCGATGAGCTCTGCCAATATTTTTGTAAATATGTCATTTAAGTTGATTAAAAACTCATCCACAGCCCTTTTTTAACCACAAACCAATATCAGCGTAATCATGTTTTGAGCAGTTACCTCTTCACACTACTGTTTTATTCATATTCTTTAGGCAGCTGGTTGGCCCAAACTAAATATCGACCTGTGCTGGAAATTTAAAGCCAATAGCTGGCTGATATATCCATTTCTAGTCACTGCATGGTTTGGAAAAGTCAAACAAAAAGGAAAAAGTATAAAACAAAACTTGTGCTGCCAGACAGTAAATCAAACCAACTAAAATAAACACTCACTCAGATGAATATCTGTTGCATCTATTTGTCTTTTAGCCTTGAATTAAACGATGAAAAACACCATCAGATGATTGATTATTTGAAATGATTAGATCTTGATTCAATAAAAATTGCAAAGCACTAATTGTAGTTGTGGAAGGAGTACTCAGTTTTGTTGGTACAGATACTTGAGCAAAAAAAAAAAAAAAAAAAAAAAAAGTAAAAGTATGTGAGAAAAATCCCTCAGTTGTCCAGGTAGAATTCATGGCAAAGGAGAAATTAAATTTGTCAAACAGACAGAACTGAAGAAGCAGCTTGGATGAGCTGCGAAACGTATTTGACTAAATAAACTTTTGTGCAGTTGACAGACTGAATTTCTCCTTTGTAATGTAAAAGTAAAAGTCAAAAAATCTACTCAGGTAAAAGTATTAAAGTACCTGTTTACAAATGAAGAGTAAAGAGTAAAAAGTAAAAATATATATATTTTTTTTAGTATTTTGAGATCTAATAAAGCTTCAAATGCAGTGAAGCAATAGTTTTTTGTAGTCATTTATATTTGTATATTTTTGTTTGCGCAAAATACAAATGTATTCAAAATAAACCCCTCAGCCTTTTCAGCAAGTCTCAAATAATAATAATAAAAAAATAAACTCATACTTTTCAGTCTAGTTAAAAAATGTAGTGGAGATACCTGCTCTCAAATGTTGTGAAGTAAAAGTAAAAAGCATCCACTTTTAGAAATGGGGTGAGACACAATTTCGAGATTGGACCCACACGACCAAGACAAGACGAGCTTTTAACAGATTTCCTAATGCATAAATTTCACGATTCAGTTTCCAATTTTGGCCTCATATTTTTTATTTCTTTGATTTCATATTTTAGTTTCCATTATAATACTTTTTGGAACTGTAACTCCAATACTTCACCCTTTTTTGTCCAATCCAAATGTAACACAAAACCGAAAAAACCTCAGAAGATCATTTTTCTCTTGTGTGCACGATCTTGGGGGAATTCTGTCTCACAAGATCTTGTACCATCCCTATCCACTACATAAAAATCTAAAATTTACTGTATACTTATGTGCACTTACTTTTCCACGTTCCACCACTGCCTATTTGTACAGAGTGCTTTCATTAAATAATCAGCGACTTTATACTCAAAATCAAACCCAACTTCTAGCCCCAAACCCTTCCATAGACCTTGTGTGTGACTCACCTCGCGTGTCTCTCGCATAGACTTCTCTTATTGCATAATCATTAAGAGACGCAGACAGATCCAGAGGGGCCAGTGATTTGACATCTTTCAGCAGAACGGTGCTCTCCACTTCAAATTCACATTTCTCACAGATGGCCGGCAGGAGCTGGGCCAGAGGGACGCGCGGGTTCACTCTCAGTATGGTCTTTTGTGTCTGCTTGTAGTTTATCACCATACGCACGGTTGCCTAAAAGAAAAATGGAGCTATTAAAATCGGTGTAGCAATATGAAAAGTAAGATCAGACTGTGGAAGGAGCGCTGGAAATTTGGACTTAAAGATGCATTGTGCCTAGTGCCTCCACTCAGTTTCATTTCTCTCTAGTGACTAGGTGAGGAATCGGAATACACTAGACGATTTGCAAGAACCCTGGAAGTTGTAGACCGCGCACTGGCCAATCAGAGAAGAGCTGTGAAGCCATGACGTCAAATTCAAGCACCTGTCTGGGTCTCTTTTGTGGTATAGGACAACGGTAAACAAAAGCTGGTTAAAGCTGGAATAAAGAGAATGTTGAATGGTGAATTTTATCAAGGGGAAAGACGTTATTGCCCTTCTTCCTATGGGATTTGGGAGAAGTTTACTGTATTTTCCGCACTATTAGGCGCGCTCATAAGCCTCCAACCCCATCAAAAAACAAATGCGCGCTCCGCAATCCAGAGCGCCCTATACACAAATCCACTCGGGTGTCCTACTACAAAGCCGCACCGCCCGCAGAACACGCAAACACGCACGGAGCAGACAGAGACCGCGCAGCGAAAAACACCCACAGACACACTCATCACTCCACACGGACGAGGAATGGAACGGAGGAACGAACCGAAAAGGGAGTGCAATGTGACACTTTAGACAAAACTGAAGAACTGAGTCACTGCGAACACGTCGACAATCCAGCGGTCCCAGACAGCACCATCCCTATACGCTAGGGGTGGGCGATATCTCGATATTTTAAATATATCGAGATAGTTTTTAAACTCGATATGGATTCTGACATATCGTATATATCGATATAATGCTTATATTCAATTTAGATTTCGCCGCTTCGCTTGTTTACCTTCTCTCTTGTCGCCTCCGCGCCGCCGCCTCCCTGATTTTGTTTGCTCATGTCTCCTTCACTCGTCACTACCGCCGTGATCGCCGAAAGTTGTGAAAAGCTTCAAGCACCACGAACCTTTTCTACCATTTACAGACAAAACCATCAGCAGCACATCCTCATATTCCACTGAGTCTCGTCCTTTAGCCCAAAAGAAGCTAAACGAGCTGAGCTGCGTGAGAAGTGCACTGTTTATGCAAATGAGTCATGCGCTTAAATTTCGTTTCTGTAAAACGTAAACACACGTGCGCAAAACTGCATTAAACACATTATTGTGTCAAATGGGCTGATGTGGCTCGTAGTCGTTATGTTTTATATATTGTAAAGTTTAGTAATGTAAAGTCTATTTATGCAGAAGATTTTAATTAATCTGTTGAAGTGTAAATTTTACAATAGTGTTTGGAAAAGTTGGGTTTGATCTGCAGTGGATTGTGGGATACCTCATAGCTCCTTACTGCTGGACAGAGACATGGATCTATTAAAATAAGGAACATCCTGAGCTTCCTCTGCTAAAGGAGCTCACGGTTATGGTTATGATTATGGTCTGGATAACAGAGTTAATGCAAAGATAAGCTTGTGTTGAGTTGTTTTATTTATGAATGAAAAGAAGGAAGTATATATTATTTATTTTATTTTACAGTTAAATTATTATTTATGTAATTTGTTTTTTTTGTAATCTTAAATGTTCCTATATGAACTGCCGACCTCTTACACTTCAATTAAAAAAAAAAAAAGACCTTGTGGAATTTGGCAGATTTGTTTTTGCAGTTTTCAGTTTTAGGGGGTTATTTTTTCTTGAACATATATCGAGATATATATCGTATATCGAGATATAGCAAAATATATCGAGATATATTTTTTATCCATATCGCCCAGCCCTACTACACGCCACAACTGAACAAAGCTGAGAGTCACCGTGAACGCGCCAAACAAAGTCCCACTCACCCATCTAACTGTTGTGTTTCGTTTAAAGCCCGGTGCGGTTTATTTGTGAAAAAAGTTAGAAAACAGACCATTAAATGACAGTGCACCTTATAATCAAGAGCGCCTAATAGTCCGGAAAATATGGTAATATACCAGTTAGCCCTGTTAGTGGTGCATTACATACATCACAACCAAATAGCAGAGATTGGTTAAATTAAAAAAGTACCCACCTACCATTGAGGGAACACATCCTAAAGCTGTGAGGTCAGATGTTCCATGCTGTGACATTAAACACATCTATCCAGCTTTTATTCAAGGGTTGCCTGTCCACAGATCTGACCTGTAATGTCACCTAGTTGTCCCCCTTGAGATAGATTTAGTTTAATCTCTAACGTGGAGCATAGTAGACAAAGCAATAAATGTTTGGTGAATTTTACCAAGGGGAAAGACGTTATTGCCCTTCTTCCTATGGGATTTGGTGCATTACATACATCACGACCAAATAGCAGCGACTGGTTAAATTAAAAAAGTACCTGCCTACCATCGATGATGAATCAGGCTAGCATTGTGTGACTTTTCTAATAAAAAATGTCTGGAATTCATTTAATTTGGATTCAACTGGGACCCAAAGAAAATTATTCAGAAACCACCTGCCTCAAAAACATCATCCCCTTGATCCAATTCTGAACTGTTCTCTTCAAAGCCTGCGTGCCTGTGATTAAGCTCAAATCACATTGCATTTGATTTTGTAACTAAATACACTTACAAAATTCTTTCAATTTTTGTGAAAATAAACAAGGCAGGCTTTAAATCAGTGCCTTTTAACACAAAAAATGTTCAAATTTAATTTGTTCAAATTCCAGTCATGTATTGGCTGAAAGGTGCATTGTGTAACTGTTCTGGTCAAGGGCCCAAATGCTTTCCTCCATGGAGATGTTATTCCTTTGTTTGGAACTTTTCTATCCTCATGGAGACCAAACTAGACCAAGTCCTAGACCAGGTTGGGTACCAAAGCAAATAGTTGCTGAAACGGGCGGGTTTTAATGTTCTGGAATTTCGGGCGGGTAGTGATTACACACGGGCGGGACAGGTGAATCCATGAACGATGAACGGTAGAAAAATACTTGACACACAGCCAGGACGTCCGCTGCCATTTCCCAAGCGCCATTTCCCGGTCTTTTCCTGGAATGATGGACCAGGCAGAGAGAGTGACTTATGTGTTTTAACTACATAAATCCATCAGCGGAGGTGATCGGCTCGGCGACTGCGCTCCTGTTTTAGACCTGGCGATCGGCTTTGTGGTTTGAGGCATGTATATATTTATACTAATGACACTGGTTCAGTCCTGGTTTAGTCTTGGTTTAGACCTGGTTCAGGCCTGGTTCAGTTCTGGTCAGTCCTGGTGTAGCCCTGGTATAGTCCTGATTTAGTCCTGGTTCAGTCCTGGTTCAGTCCTGATCCAGTCATGGTGTAGTCCTGGTGTAGTCCTGGTGTAGTCCTGGTGTAGTCCTGATGTAGACCTGGTGTAGACCTGGTGTAGTCCTGGTCCAGTCATGGTGTAGTCCTGGTGTAGTCCTGGTGTAGTCCTGGTGTAGTCCTGGTGTAGACCTGGTGTAGACCTGGTGTAGTCCTGGTGTAGTCCTGATGTAGACCTGGTGTAGACCTGGTGTAGTCCTGGTGTAGTCCTGGTGTAGTCCTGATGTAGACCTGGTGTAGTCCTGGTGTAGTCCTGGTGTAGTCCTGATGTAGACCTGGTGTAGTCCTGGTGTAGTCCTGGTGTAGTCCTCCTGTTAGACCTGGTGTGTCCTGGTGTAGAGTCCTGGTGTAGTCCTGGTGTAGTCCTGGTGTAGTCCTGTGTAGTACCTGGTGTAGTCCTGGTGTAGACCTGGTGTAGACCTGGTGTAGTCCTGGTGTAGTCCTGGTGTAGTCCTGGTGTAGTCCCTGTAGACCTGGGTAGTCCTGGTGTAGACCTGGTGAGTCCTGGTGTAGTCCTGGTGTCCTGGTGTAGTCCTGGTGTAGTCCTGGTCCAGTCATGGTGTAGTCCTGGTCCAGTCCTGGTGTAGACCTGGTGTAGACCTGGTGTAGACCTGGTGTAGACCTGGTGTAGTCCTGGTCCAGTCCTTGTGTAGTCCTGGTGTAGACCTGGTGTTGTCCTGGTGTAGTCCTGGTGTAGTCCTGGTGTAGACCTGGTGTAGACCTGGTGTAGTCCTGGTGTAGTCATGGTGTAGTCCTGGTGTAGACCTGATGTAGTCCTGGTGTAGTCCTGGTGTATCCTGGTGTAGTCCTGTGTAGTCCTGGTGTCCTGTGTAGTCCTGGTGTAGTCCTGGTGTAGACCTGGTGTAGTCCTGGTGTAGTCCTGGTGTAGTCCTGGTGTAGTCCTGGTGTAGTCCTGGTGTAGACCTGGTGTAGTCCTGGTGTAGTCCTGGTGTAGACCTGGTGTAGTCCTGGTGTAGTCCTGGTGATTGGCTCTGCGGTTGCAGCGTGTACATATTTATAATCCACTAATGACACAGCGTAGTTTTAGTCCTGGTTCAGTCCTGGTTCAGTCCTGGACTATTGGGCTGTCGGACTAATGGGCTGACCCTGATTTATCATGGGCAGGGTGAGTAACGGGTGAATTGTTAACGGGTCCGGGTGGGTGCGGATTTAACTTTGATATAATCACGGGTTAACGGGCGGGTGTGGTGCTGTACTGCGTGCTCCAAAAATGGACCCATGCAGGACTATGGACCAAGATACAGGTCAGATCTGTGGAGAGGCGACCCCGCTCACAGTTCGACTGCCTGTTTTCTACATATTTCTGAACTATAAAACCACCTGTAATTTAATAAATGTAAGGTAGAGCTGTTTAATGCCACACTGTGGAACATTCCAAGTCAAAAAGTTACACAGTTCACCATTACATAAAAGTACATGACCAATAATTTACTCACTTACAAGTACCGCTGCCAAAATTGTACTTCAAGTTTGGTGGGATCATGTTTGCCGGGATAGTACTTGTGATAAATATTTATAATAGTTTCATGTCAGTTAAGTGGCAGTTCGTGGAAAAAAGTTGGAATAAATTTACAGCTACTTCCTTTGTCATCAACACCAACAACTCCATCCAAAATACAGAGACAATTTATGCACAGGGAAGGCATTTTTCATCTAACAAAATAAAGTCTTGTCCTTTATTTTTATTACTCTAACCATAACTATTGTGTTATTTCGACAGGTTTTGGCCTTGTTTACGTTATAGTTGCTTGGTAACAGTTATGGAAATACTTCTACATTGTCGTACTTGCTGCCCGTGTCAACCAAGAAGTAGAATTATACACTTTATTTAAGAAAAATATATATATATGGGCAACCTGTTTTGGTAATATCTTAAAGGTGCACTGTGTAACTGTTTGGTTGGGAGTCCGTCACCTGCTTGTTTCTGCTGAGATACCATTGCTCTGCCTGGAATGTTCCAAAGTACGGCATTAAACAACTCTACATTTCCAATCCAATCTATACATAATAATAACAACAATAATAATATGATAAAATAAACGCTCAGATTTAATCATACTAGTCTTAAAATAATAAAAATCAGAGAATAGCAATAAATAAATCAGTCATCAATCATTTATTCAATTACAGGTGGTTTTATAGCTCAAAAATACCAAGAAAAACAGACATTCTGACTACGAGCGGCGTCGCCTCTCCACAGATCTGACCTGTAACTTGGCTTGGTTTGATCTCCATGAAGATTAGGAGTGTGCAAAAATATCAAAATATCAATATATCCTGTCGTTTAATGATGATACAGGATCGATATCGTGGGCTGCTGTATCAATATATCGTCAAGAGTATTTTTTGGTAAATTTTACTAAATTATTTCGTTACAGCTACAGTTTTGTTGTTTGTTTAGTGAAAAGAATCTTGTTTATTCAACACATTTGATATTTTCACAGTTTTGATGAGTAAAATGTTTGTTAAACCACTTCTTGTACAAAGTTCATATGAAACACAAAGACTTTTAGTATCACAGCCATGATATAGCGTTTATTTTTTTATTGAACTGTGTCCTCTGTGTCAGATTTATTCATTTATTTTTTTATTAGTTATTTTGCTATTTAGTTAGTTAGTTAGTTAGTTATATTATTTATTTATTGTTTTTATCAATTTATTTTTTATGTATTTTTTATTATTTTATAGTATTTTTATGTATTTATTTTATTTATTGATTTTATTATTTTTGCTCATTGATTTTTTTTTTATTATTATTATTTTATTTAATGATTCTATCAGTTTCCTCTTGGTTGGGACATATAATTTTTTTTTTAAGTAAAATGATTTATATTGCTATGTAAAGCACTTTCTTTTCAATTCTTGTTTATAAAATGTGCTCTACAAATAAAGTTGGACTGGATTGGATAATTTTAAAAGCATTTCAGATCACGCTTTTATACAAAACAATAAAAAAATTTAAAATTGAATTCAATTTCCATATTTTTACCAATTAGAAACAGCAGTAAGACGTCGTTGGCTTGAGACTTGTACTGAACTCAGTAACTTCTATTATTTAAAGGTGCATTGTGTAACTTTACTGCTGGAGGGTCCGTCAAATGCTTTTCTCCATGGAAATATTAACGCTTTGTCTGGAACGTTTCACATTATTACAGTTATTAAACCTTTCTATCTTCATGGACACCAAACCAGACCAAGTTACAGGTCAGATTCTGTCTTTCAATTACCCCAAACAGCTACTGAATATTTGCACATAATTACTTTCAACCTGTGAGTAGAATAGTATAAATAAAATAAAGCTTACCTCGGGCATCTGTGGGCCTGTCTTCTTGTTTTTGTCCTCTCCTTTGGGTTTGATAATGACCTTTTCCGCATCCAAAGTCCCTATAAGTGCATTGGGTTTGAGTTTGATGTTGTTCCGAGTGCTGGTGACTAGTTCCAGGGTATGTCCAGAAGGATTTAGATGGTATTTTGCACAAAGAGTCACTAATAGGTCCATTAGGGGTTTGCTGTGAAGGAAAGAAAGAATATGTTATAGACATGTTATTCAAATTCACTCTGAAATGTGATAGTGATAATGGATCTTCAAGACCACAGGGTTCCTACGCTCGGAAATAAATAATTGCAGTGGATTTCCAGAGATTTTATGCAACAATTCATGATAGCATTTTCACATGGAGATAAAAGTTATGTACAGGACTTTTAGTCATTTATATTTAAATGGTCTCAATAAGAAATGTCTGCAGCCAGATTCATATAAACTTTATGATTTCAATAGTTTTTCAAATATTACAACTTCAATTTTATTTCAGTGCATCAAACTGAAATACACTTAAGAAAAATTCAGGGATAACAATTAGGGACCTACACCTGCACAACAATACTGGTACTATCGGAGAGCAGAGGGACCAAGTCTCAAGTAAGCCTCAAGTCTTTGACCTGAGTCTTGAGTCACTGGCCCATAAATTTAAGTCAAGTCCAAGTCATCTGCTTTGAGCTTCAAGTCATTTCAAGTCTTTAAACCAAAGTACCAAATATAGCTTCGCTTTTTGCAATTTATATGAATTTTAAACTAAATTGTACTTAAAAAAGCACGGTATATTTATATTTATAGAGTATATAAGAGTTGGAGAAACTAATTTTGTCATTTTTTTCCTTTTTAAATGTCTTGGCAAGATCTTAGCGTGAATCATTCTGGTCAGAATAGAAAGAATTCAGATTTAAAAGTGCTTCTCAAGTCACAGGCCTCAAGTCCTGTTTCTTTTTGTTGCGGTTATTTCTATTATGATTTCACTAATGTTATATATTCCATTGTATAAGAATGTAAATCTCTTACTTGCCCAAAATAAATACATAAAAATAAATAATAATAATCAGAATGGGCAGATACATAAAACTATAGTGTTAGAATCGTGTAGTAACTAAAAAAGATGAATAGCTTTAATTCACAGATCACAATTACACCAGAGCTTTAAAGGACTGACTCTTGATCTTGAGTCGTGTAAAGAACATATAATTTGTCAATCTCAGTCAGCTCTGTGTTTCAGTTAAATAAATGTGAAACAGGTTGTTTTGTTCTTAATATCTACTGTAGGCTCATGGGTGTACTTGAAAAATACAAAGCAAAAAATATGTTACAAAAATTTAAGTTTGTGTAGTTTGTGTATTATGTATGTGGCCTAAAAATAGAATTAAAAAAATGATTATGAGAAATTAGTAACGTTGCCATGGTGATTAACTAAACAAAACCATAAAACAAGAAGTCCTCAAAATGTTTACATACAACATAACAGGGAAGGTCATTAATAATTTGTGATGACACTGCCGCTGTCAGCAGGGCGCTGCCACAACCCACTGGGCATCAGAACTCGTCCAACTTGTTCAGACTTCACTTTTCATTTCTAGACCGTTTCAACAATTAACACCTTAAAACAACACCTTAAAACAACAAGACGAGAGGTAAAATTAGTCACAAATCGTAAATCACTTCTGTCTCTCCAGATCTCTATGATATTTTTAAAAGGTGCATTGTGTAACTTTTCATCAAACTCTATTCTTCTTTGTTATTACTTTGTCTTAAATGTTTCACAGTGTGGTATTAAACCTTTTTATCATGACGAAGACCAAACCAGACTAAGATACAGGTCAGATCTGTGGAGAGGTGACCCTGCTCACAGTCAGAATTCCTGTTTTCCAAGTATTTTTGAGCTATAAAACCATCTGTAATTTAATAAATGTCAGGTAGAGCTGTTGTGGAAGTTACATAAATGCATCTAAAAATGATACAGGCACTTTTGAGAATTATTTGGAAACGCGGAGGAGAATTCGCCGCCTAATCTGTTCTTACGGGATTGTTCTCTGTTGTTTCTCAAGAGACCAAAGTACATACGAAAGCTAAGAAAGGGAGTTTGTAAACTGTACACACTGTGAGAAAGATAATGAAATCTTAGGTAAACTCTGAGGGGAAAACCTAAGCTGTCTGAGTAAGTCCTTGTTTGCAAAATGTGGACACTCTGATTAGAGCAGCTCAAGATTCATGATATTTTTATGGGTAACAGAACCAATAGAAGTAAATACCAGGGATGTAACGGTATCCAAATCAATTTAGTTGTAGTATTTTATTTGGTTATTTTGCAGTACTACAGAAAACAGAGACTATAACCCCATGGATCATGACCGAAAGAGTTTAGACTGAAGTAAAAAGTTCTTAAAAATCCAAATCCTGTTAAACAATGACAGAAATCCAAGAAAGAAAAGCAGCATATGAACAGCAAGTTTGTGTACAATTTCACTTAAGACTTACTGTATATATAAGTGACACAATAAAAATAAAAACAAACAAAACTGAAGCTTTCAAAACATAATGCTTTACACTTCTACACTTGTGTACTTCCACAGATGTTTGAGGATTTCAAAAAGTCTTTCAGCTTGTTCCATATACTAACCCCTCTAACAGAAATACAATCTCTTGTTTTTCTTAGTTCTTATCTTTATTTTTTAAAAGATGCCTGTTCTTCTAAGGTTATACCGACCGTCTCTCTGCTCAGATAACTCCTGTATAAGAGGAATCTTACAGTACAATATTATTATAATATGCATTTCACTGTGTTGTGGAAAAAATTATGTATTTCTTGATGATAAATAATTAATCCATTTGTGAAGCCTGATGAGTTTTTAGAATATAGACCAAGGTTTATTGTTGTTACAGTAGCTATGGACAGGGTCTAGGTCTGCCCTGACCACAGACCAACAGCCTCTCCTCACCAGCAGTATGTCCCTACTCCATTTGACCCGAGTCTCTGCCCAAGTATCTGCCCCAGAGCATCTGAGCTCTGAGTATTTATACAGAAATACAAATTAAATACATATCAAAGCAGAGTGACTTTTGTATCCGAGGCTGGTGTTAAATTAATATACAGTTGAGGACAGGTAAGACAACAAAGGGCTTCCTGAAGGAGGCGACAGTTGTGTCTGATGATCTTTTACACATGTTATTGACTGGTCTGGTCTAAGGTAGAAATCACATTAATTTACAAAAACGACAGACTGAGAGAAATCTTTCCACAATTGTAAATTTCCATCACACATGGTATGACATTATTACAATATTCTGGAGAAGCAAATAAAATTGCAGATAGAATACTTATTGCTTTTAAAATGCCTTGACAAGATTTTGGAACAAATCATTACCATCATAATCCCAAGAATTAAGGTAAAAACATATTTCTTCATGCTGTCTGCGCTGAAATGAATCATGGGATAGTAGTAGTAGTTCCATGTGTATATTAATAGGGATGTAACGATATCCAAATCAATATTTATTGCGATATTTTGGAGTGGCAAATATAATTCTAGATAGGACATTTTTTTGCTTTTAAAATACCTTGACAAGATTTTGGTGTGATATATGTGATAGCTCTTGGTATTATTGTGAGACTTTTGATGATACGATATCACAATATTGAGGTTATTGTTACATCCCTTTTTATTAACTGCTGCTATTATAAAACAAAGCGTTTAACAAAGGAACTTGTGATTCGATATATTGTGACAGCTCATGATATTATTAAGACTTTTGATGATACAAAATCATGATATTTTGGTTATTGTTTTATCCCTAGTAAATACATTTATAATTTAATCCATTTGAATTTCTTATAAAACACTTTTTGAAATCTTGAAATGTCTTTTTTAAATTTGGATTCTGAGCGGTCGCATAGTGATTCAGCAGGTTTTTACCAGCTGTCGCAAGAAACCACATGCTGTAACTTATACACACCCACATTTTCATTTACAAAGCTATTCTGGCAAAACTTGTACAGTATCTCACCTTCCTCATTCAGTTCAGTTCTCATCATTACTGTACTGCCAGACTCAGGAGAAACTGAGCTTAGTATCACTATAAATCTACACAGAGCAACGGGGAAACTCGTTTTAGATTCTGTGCCCCTCATTTATAGAGCAATCTCATAAACCAGCTAAAACTAAACAGTGTAATTCTCCTAAGTGAATTTAAACACCCAATATCTGTTTTCTTTTCAGACCATTGCAGTTGTTTAAGTGAAAGCTTTGTGGGCTACAGGTTCAAGAGATATTTATATGTATATTTGATTATGCTTTTTTATTCACTGTAAATGTTTTATGTTTTTAACTGTGTACTCATGACTCCCTTCCTGATAAAATAAAAAAAATAAATAGCTGGAGTAGACAATGTGGGAGAGGTGTTTTGCTTAGGGACACAATGACAGCATTTTCTCAGGTGAGGTTTGAACTCACTAAGCCTTTGATTATATGTAGTAAACAACAATACAAAAGTAAAAGCTAGGCAAGGAAAACAGGCTTTCTTTAGGCAAATCCATGGACAATACACTTTAAATAAACCTCAGCAAGTTTTAGAGTTCAGAACTGGTATTAGAATAATTGACCTGTTAGTGTAAAGTTTACAATACAATATCATATATGATGCTGTAGCAGGTCAAAACTAACTAATATGAAGTCCAATATATAGGGACTTCATAATATATATCCAATAAGGTTCATTTGGTCTTCTGATATTTTATGTTATTAGGTTCTTTTTTCAGACCAAGAGTTTGTTTTCATACCTGACAGACGTGGTCATGTGATGTTGCTGTGACATGTCCAGTCAGCTGATTTATACAAGTTTTGGTCTTCCTACCGGTGGAGGCAGGACAACAGCTCCATCTGCAGTCCGACTTCCGGTTTATAAATCAGGACAAGGGGCTTTTTTACTCTCACACACCTGGGATACTGTCCTGAGGAAGTCGAACTGCAGATGGCGCTGTTGTCCTTTGTCCACCGGTAGGAAGACAGCGCCAAAACCTGTTTAAAGCAGCCGACTGAACATGTCTCAGCAACATCACATGACCACTGGAGGAAGAGCACTAGTGAGCAGTCGAAACTGTCAGAACAAACTCTTGATCTGAAAAAAGAACCTAATAACACATAATATATTGAACCTAGAAGCTTATTTGAACAGGCATAAAAAAAAAAATCACACAAATAGATCCTTTTAAATGTCTTAACGTATAATCATAGATTAAGACATCAGTGGCCCTGTGAGTATCATTATTAAATGCACTTTTATTTATCATTACTGTTTCAGAGAGTGTGTGCAGGCTTTATCTTGTTTCTTAAAATCAATATTATAACAAGTATAAGATTTCATGATTATATTAAAGAAATCACTATTTTGTGTTCAAAGTTACATTCTGTTGTCTACCCATTTTCATCATGTAATACAAATTGTGTTAGATATTGTGCTGCTTTGCCTTTTCCTTGGAATACATGTTTTTATGTACAGTAAGTATCATGTCAACACTAATAAAAAGTCATAAAAAATGACCAATCAAATTAAATTCTGTTAACTGGGCAAAAGTTTTAGAGCAGGGGTCTCCAACCTTTTTCCTCCAGTGAGCTATCTTTACAAAATGAAAATGACAAAGAGCTTATCATCATGATTTTCTAAATTCGAAACTGGAACACACCCGGATTGGGATGTTTGATATAAATAAAATTATGAAAAGAGTGTGTAACATAATCTGCAGGACGTCTGACACTGCATTTTTTTGCTTTATTGTAATTTTCTGTATTTTGGCTAAACAAATTCTAATTTATGCTCCTCTTTACTGTTGGTGAGGATCTGATTAGTCAAAAATTGTAATAGTCCTGTTTTAGTCCTGGTTTAGTCCTAGTTTAGTCCTGGTTTAGATCAAATCTGTCAAAAATAGGGACACTTGGGACATTTTTTTGTATAAAACTGGGACAAATCACTGGTTTTGTATAAATCTGCTGGGACAGGGGACACAGGGCACAAAACTGGGACTGTCCCGGGAAAACAGGGACGTTTATTTAGCTTTCACAAGAAACTGAGCATAGGAAAGCCTTTGGGGAGCGGCTATACTTATAAAATATAAAACTTTATCCATTTATTAGTGCACAAAGTTAGGTAGTAATTAGTTTGTTTAATTAGTTAGTTCAGAAATCCCTTAGTGAGCTACTTGGAATGGAGTGGAGAGCTACTCTATGTATAAAAACAAACTAAAATCTATCTCCTCTGGCCTATAGCATCATCAAACTTGACTTTTTCTTCTGATGAAACCACTGACAGTTCACTGCTGGCTGTACACATCTACTCTTTGCGACTTAACCCCTTTACAATTCCATGATGCAGCGCTAAAATATTTCCTTAATGAGCTCTACCACCATAAACCTTAACGCACAGCCATGACTATATCACACTCTATACCATTTTCTTTTACGTACCTGCCGTGAACAGTCGTCATCTTTTCCACTCCTCCGGGCAGTACCACGGTGAGGGAGAGCTCTTGGTCCATGCGGTTTTCCTTGTGGTCCATGGTGAGGGTGGAGGGGTTTCCTGGGAACCACTGGGACAGTTCTGGGGAATTCAGCTTGTCCAGGCCAGGGGGAGACGGGGCCTTGCTTTTAGTGGACACCCTGCGAAGGAAGAAGAAAGATGAGAGTCAATCGTGTTTATGTTTGGCACAGAGAAGGTTGAATGAGCGGGGTGGGGTCTTTAAGAATGCATTCACACTTGGTCCTGGTTTAGTCCTGGTTTAGTCCTGGTTTAGTCCTGGTTTAGTCCTGGTTTAGTCCTGGTTTAGTCTTGACATAGACCTGGTTTAGTATTAGTCATTTTGCTGTTTTTGTGCTGTGTTTGTGCAAGTTTTAAAGCTGCACTGTGTAACTTTCAGGGTGGAAGGTCCGTCACCATGGATATGTCGTTGCTTTGCCTGTAATTTTCTTATCTGTTTCCACGGAGACAAGCACCAAGCCAGTTTACAGGTGCGATCTGTGGAGAGGCGATTACACTAGAATAAACATTTTTCAAGGTATTGTTTTACTGTAAAAAAAATACTTGTAATTAAATAATAAGCAAGTTTAATGCCATACTGTGGTACATTCCAGCAAAAGCAATCTCCCCAGAATTTCTCCATGGACACAACTAGGTGCTGGACTCATACCAGAAAAGGTACGTAATGCAGCTTTAACACAGTGTAATAATTTCAATTTATGAGGTGGTTTAAAGGGACAGATTTAAGATAAGATTTAGATGTTAAATTTCCCCAGAAACGAGGTTGCTAATGCCAATTTATTCTCAATTTAAAAAAAAAACAAAAAAAAAAACACTTGACATAACATTTATTTATGTCACAATTTGGTGTTTGTTGTCTCACACGTGTCTCTCGTTTGGGTTCCCAATTTCAGTGCTGAAATACAGTTAAAACATAAAAAAACTAGAAAAGCACTCAGAGAGCGTAGACCTCCGCCAAGGACTACAGTCCCCCTCATATTAATTGTGTTTTCCATAAATATTTGTCTCGTATCTTTCAATTTGGAATATGAAAGAGGATCCCATTGTCCATCCCTGAGTCAAATTTCATGGGGTTTGGTCAATAATTAACCGAGATATTGAGAAACAAAGTTTTTGGCCCCATTTACCACAATGTTAACTAAAATTTCAAAGTGATCCAGAATCCAGGATTTCTTCTGGATCACCCCCAAAATGAAATCAGTTCTTCCTTTTCACATTTCCAACAAATCCTGAAAATTTCATCAAAATCGGTCCATCACTTTTTGAGTTATGTTGCTAACAGACAAACAAACAAACAAACAGACAAACGCCGGCAAAAACATAACCTCCTTGGCGGAGGTAAAAACACTCTCTGATCTAAATTGTCTCTATCTAAACCTCAGCACCTGAAGCCTGAATCATGAATCAGTAACTTTCGGAGGTTCTGAGTTTTCACATGAGGCCACTCCATAAACTGAGAATTAGAAAAATGATCTTGTGGCACAAGATTTTGTCCTATTCCCACATGGAATAGGCCTGGGACCGTAACAATAACACACTAATTTAAAGGTGCACTATGTAACTGCACTATGGTTGAGGATGTATCACCTGTTTGTTTCTATTGATATATCATTGCTCTGCCTGGAATGTTCCCCAGTATGACTTTAAACACCTCTACCTTACATTTATCAAATTTCTGATGTATTTACAGCTCAAAAATATCTAGAAAAACAGGCATTCTGATGGTGAGCGGGTAGCCTCTCCACAGATCTGACCTGTAACTCTGTCTGGTTTGGTCTCCCTGAAGACAGAAAGAAATAATACCATATTGTGAAACATTCCAGAAAAATCTCCATGGAGAAAAGGTTTTCACAGACCCTGCATCTTTAAGTTGTAATAAAAATGTATCTAGAATCTAATAGCAGGAATCTAATTTATAACAAATAGTCTTTGCTCTTCTCTTGTATGTGAATAGCTCAGAGCCTATTAGATCAAAGCACTCAAGTCCATTTGCAACCCAGTCACAAGACAGTCCAGTGGTTCATTAGCCCGGAGCAGGCTGTGAATGGGCCACATGTGAGAGACAGAGACTGAAGAAGATACAGGAGAGAATCACAGCCTTTATACACAAACCAAGCTCTCACAGCTGAATCTGGGTCTGTGTGCGGTTCTGTGCAGCACTAATCTCAACATTTTATTGCTTCCTGTGATTTAAGTATTTATTTAATATCTGAAACTAAAGGCATCTGATCACATCATATGACTTGTAAATGAACCGTAATATTGTGATTACCGTATTTTTCAGACTATAAGTCACACTTTTTTCATGGTTTGGGTGGTCCTGCGACTTATACTCCGGTGCGACTTATATATTAAAATTTTCACACTGACCACCACGAGACGGCGTTCTAGTCTTGTGTGTCAGTATCTGCTGCTCCTATTACTCCTGTACCACTGTCACTTCACTCTACTGTGCATGTCTCCTTCAGAAAGAGCTGCTGTCCTGCAGCAAGTAGTGAAATGCAGCCGAAAATGGTAACTGAGCAGCAGAAAGAAAGTTTGGAGAGAGTGAGAATCTTGTGAGGGACTGGCGAAAGGCGGGGATGGAGAACATAGCTTCACGGCAACGTCATGATGCGCCATGCAACTTTCCTGGAAGTCATTCGATGGATCAACAAACCCTGGACTTTAGTGACACCGAAACCATCCTGTCAGGATTCAGAAAGGCCGAAATAATATCTAACTGGATCTGATGCTAAGTCTGATGACAGTTGCACAATAGAGGAAGCGGCGCTCTGTTTACCTCCAGAGGTCGAGGAGTTGCTCAGAAGTGACACCGAGGATGAAGAATTCAATGGATTTAGTGATTTGGAGTGAGATGCAGAGTTTGGTAAACTTGTTCTGTTCTGTTGTTTATGTTATAGTTATCTGAATAACTAAGAGTCCAGCACTTGGCTGCAGACATGCCAGGGAGATTGCTTTCATTGGAATGTACCACAGTATGGCATTAAACCTGCTTATTGTTTGATTAAAGTGCTTTTTACAATAAAACACTAACTATAAAAATATGTATTCTACTGTAAGTGGTGCACTGCTCCACAAATAAGACCTGTAAATAGGCTCAGTGCTTGTCTCCATGGAAACAGACAAGTTTAATATCATAACTGTGAAAAATATCCAGGCAAAGCCAAAACATCTCCATGGAGACAGACCCTCCATCCTGAAAGTTGCACAGTGCACCTTTAAAATTAAAAGGTGCACTAACTTTTCTGGTGGAGAGTCTGTCATCTGCTTGTCTCCACTGCAGTGTTAATACTTTGCTTGGAAAGTTGCACAATATGTCATTAGCTTTTATATCTTCATAGAGACAAGAAGGTGACAACACTCAAGTTACAGGTCAGATCTGCGGAGAGGTGACCAAGCATGTTTTACAGATTTTTTGGTAATAAAAACAATTATAGCTTAGTAAAACAAAAAAGTTCAAGTTAACATTAATGGAAAAGCAATGATGGACCCTCCCTTTTAGATGTTGAATTTTACTTTACTTACAAGTCACTGTAATTGCTCCAATCTATTACAAATATTGAACCAAGTCCACGCCGGGAAGTGAGGTAAATTTGGTGGAGTCTGCCCTTTCTAATCCTGTTACCAAAAAATAAAGGCTTAAAGCAATATAATGTTTTTACACTGATATTGAAAATAAGACCATATTTAGAAGTTAGTCAAGACACTTTCCAGACAAGAAAATTAAACACAGCTAAAAATGGCAAATGTTTTGATACCAAATTTAGCTACAAAAACTCTATCATAATTAATAATACTTTTCACCTGAGGGGGGAAAAAAAACTGAACAAAAATAGACAGTGAAAACAGGCCAGAAACTGTGATGGAAAAAAAAAAAAAAATCTGTACTCTTGACTAATGTGAAATCAACATATTTACACAAGTTTCTGAAATACTGATTGCACAAATATTTGTAAATTATTCTCCAGGAAGATCATGTATTTTTATATGCGTCATTATCATAGACTGTATAAAGAAGTGGACTAAGGGAGCGTGATGTCATCCACAGTGTTCAGCTCCAGTCAAATGAAGCTCATCGAGGCTTGCAGTTATAGGGGTGAATTTTGAGCCAGGTCCATATTAGGAATAGGAATTTATTTACGGACAAAATAGCAAAATTAAAACACCAAAATCAGTAGGGTTAGTAGAGTTAAAACAAACATTTTAAGACCAAAATGACGAGGTTCATAGCAGCAGTTACAGAGAGGAGTGACAATTTTTCAAGTTTAAATTCAGTTGGAGTTCAGAGGACGCGTATTTTAAAAGTCACAAACCTTCCCAACCCAAGTCATTAGACATTATTCATAAATCACAAAATAAAGGTGGATTTGACCATTATTGAATATTAACAAGGATATTTTATTGTTGACTGAGTGATTGTGTCTCTCTGAACAATTAGTATTACTCAAGTTTTAAACAATGAAAAACAGAAATTGAACCAGAAATAAAAGGATCCATAAGTCGCCTATTTGGACATTAAATGTAGCCCATTTCTTTTTCTTTTCAACATTGAGCTGAACCAGCAATATTGGAACAAAATAGTCAATAAAATAATTACTAAAAGATTAGAAATTATACAAAAGATGTCTTAACATTTGAACATTTCTAATGAGATAGGTGGGCCTGTCTGTGTTTTTGTAGCGTGTTTCAGTCTGGGTGCAGGAGGAGAACGCAGCAGCAGATCAGATGCAGTATTCAGTATGTTTCTGTGCTTTGTTTTCATTTTGGTGAGCACAGAAAATCCCAATTCACACATATATGAAGTAGTGAAAGGAATAAGCATAGACATACTGGCGCTACTGAGGACAGGATATTCTGACAAAATGCTCATCCAGAATGACGATAAAATCCATGTACAGTATTTTTAAACTGCACCAGCCAAAAAATGTGCAATGAAGAAGAAAAAAACTTTTCACACAGGTCACACTTTTTGGGGAAATGTATTTTATAATCAGAGACCAGGAACTGACATTTCATCTTGAAAGGCAAGTTATAATAAAAACAACAAAACAGAGAACAACAGACTGAACAGGCATTAATATGTTAACGTAGCATATTAACAGTTATTCAGATAATTATA